CGTAACGACATGTCACAAATTGCCTATTTCATTTTTAGCTGTCCTTTTATTGGATCTTGTAGCATCACTTCCATATCATTAGGACATTCGGATCGCGCTCGATGATATCTTCGATTTGTGCCGCGGACTGGCCCGTGCTACAACATATTTCGTCGAGGCTATACGTGCCTGTAAAATACTTATAGATTGGATTGTTTTTCGCTTCTTCGCTGCAAGATGCACCGGGCAGAAGTACAGGATACTGTAAGAAACGATTAAATTATAATATAAACTTTTATTATATATGACAAAATTCTTTTGCTAAGCATAGTGGTAAATTATAATTACTGTCATGTCTAGCATACTTATTTGAGATACTCACGTTGTATACTCTCCTGATAAGCCCCTCGATTAAACCGAATTGTACCAGCCTTCTCTCATTTATTCGTAAGTTTTGTGGATTGAGACGTTGGCACAAGTCCTTCATGCTAATGCCATAATTCATACTCGAGTACATACGATATATATCCCTAAAGTATGCAGGCTGTCTGGCTAAAAGAAAAAATAATCTATGTACTTTGTCTCAGATTTCGTGCAACGCTGTCTGCTTCGAAAATCACTTACGTAGTTTAGAAGCGTATGCTATACACCTCTCCTGTAATTTGACATCGTCCGCCAACTGCCTTAATTTCGGAGTTATGGCGTAAACATTACTATATTGGAATATTGGAATCAGAGTCACAACTCCATAATATCTGCAAAATTTGAAACGTGACTTCTATATTGATCTTTTTGTTTAAGAAAATGCAAGTTCTCTTCGATTATTGCTCACACGAGATTTTGCACGCAGCTTTTGACTAAATTATTCTCTACATCGGCTTCGGCAGCTATACGCGCCACATGATTGAAGCCATCGATGTAAGGTAATACTTGCTGCGTAGTTAGATCCCACTGATCGCTCTGGAATGTCTCCCTGCCTTCTAAGAATATTGGTACTTGATGATCAAGAACAGGTTTGGGCTCTGGTGCTAATCTCACTACTTTTAAATGAGATGTCATTGTCCCTTCTGAAATATCATACATAATGTCATGCGTTATAATAAAGTGTTTCATATTAAAACTGCATATAAAATTTACCGGTTAATGTACACATCCTATGCAGATTTAAATCCTGCATCACTTGTCCAAGCATCTCTGCTAATCTGGTCTTATCATCTGAGGCAGATAAGAAGCAATTTTCTATTTCCAAAGCCATCTAACAATCATATAAAATTAATTACACATGAATTGTCCTATTTTTAAAATATTAAAAATATTTATAAAGAATTATCACCAAAAAATCTGACATCTTCTTAACTACAGGCTCATAGTGAACAGTGCGAGCATTTGCATCACAGACAAAACATAAATTAAAATAAAATGCGTTTCTTGCATATTTTTTATGATCAATCTTTACGGGAAATCCTAGGATTTTATAGTCTTTCAACGTGCTGCAAAAAGGAAAGAATTAGATGAATCTTATGAAAAGAGAGTTGATTAGTTTGATTAATCTTTGTAATTCTAGTTCCTGAAACTTACATTGTAATAGTGCTCCTTTGCAATTGTGCTTTTGGTATAATATAAACACTAACATTGTCAAAAATGTCCTTGGATATAAAGTTATCAGGCACCTGCAAAGTAATAATTCACGTAAGTTGTAAGTACAAAAAGTGTCAAGTATTTACATTTTATATTATAATGCATTTCTAACTTGACATGTAATTTTAGGTCCTACTATATGATGAAACTCGGAGAAAAATATGCATCGAATCGGACTCTCTTGTCCTTTTTCCTCAATATTTTCCGGGACGCTTGCCATTATTTATCTTTATTTCTTTACTGCCGGTTTTCTAAACATAATTAAACAAAAATATAACCTCTTTTCATAGTTTAGAATGTTTGTAAGCACTGATAAGCACGTGTAAGCACGCGACTGCAATGGACGTAGACTGCAACGCGACTGTGCGGAAACAGCATCAACCAGTGTGAAACTGACATATCGGGACATGTGCTCGTAGCACGAGACTGCCGTGTTATTATTAATTAAATTAATAAAATAACAACAAGAACGATTTTTGAACGAGGGAATAAATTGTATAACATAAGTATTATGCAATTTATTAATTTTATTTTTTAAATATTCTGAGAAGAAAATTTGCAGGTTATATATAAGTATATAACCTATTTGTCTGAGAATTTGTGAAGTCAGTGTCTTTTTAAACCGATTTTACAAGATGAGTAAAAGGAAGCTTGACGAGAGCAGTGTGATGGATAATGTCGATAGAGTTCAATCTCGTTTTAAATCGGATACTGGTGAAATTCTATCCGAAGACTTGATGGTATTGCCAATTAACATTACAATAGATACACTGCAAGAACTTTGTAATGCTCTACTGCAGCAAGAGAAGTCCTTCCCTTTAGCATTCTATGTGAATAATGTAGAAGTCACAGATACATTGGAGAAACACGTGGACAAGGGCTTTGACGTTAACGAGCACATTGTGGATATTGTCTATCAACCGCAAGCAGTGTTTAAAGTCAGAGCTGTTACAAGATGCACTGGATCTTTAGAAGGTTACTAATAATTTTACCGAACTATGTTAGCATATCTCATACTTCAAAATACTTCATTAACATTTCTTTTTCTTTACAGGACACAAAGAAGCTGTTATATCTGTGGCGTTTTCACCGGATGGCAAACATCTAGCGAGTGGTTCTGGTGATACAACAGTAAGATTATGGGACATCTATACACAAACACCACACTATACATGTGAGGGACATAGACATTGGGTCTTGTGCATTTCCTGGTCACCTTGTGGTTCCAAGCTTGCCTCTGCGTGTAAAAATGGATTAATTTATCTATGGGATCCTAACACTGGCAAACAAATAGGTGGAGATTTGTAAATTATGTTTAATTAATTAAGCCTTCTTCTTATGTACTCATCTTTTTTGAAATATTATACAGGAAAAGCTATGGCAGGACACAAAATGTGGGTGACGTCTTTATGCTGGGAGCCTTATCATAAAAATCCAGAGTGCCAGTATTTGGTAAGTGCATCTAAAGATTGCGACATACGAATTTGGGACACAAAGAGGGCACAAACCTGTCGCGTTTTGTCCGGTCACATGAAAAGTGTGACCTGCGTCAAATGGGGTGGCAGTGGTCTCATTTATTCTGCTTCTCAAGACAGGACTATCAAAGTATGGAGAGCAGAAGATGTATGTATTCAATAAACGGCTAATTTTATTGACTTGGACTTTTATATCTAATTAATTAAATCAATTTTTTAGGGCGTGTTGTGTAGAACTTTGGAAGGCCACGGTCATTGGGTAAACACTTTGGCTTTAAATGTTGATTATGTGCTCAGGACGGGCCCTTTTCAATTGGAATCAATTACAAATAAAACGGACAATCCACTAGAGTACGCAAGAAAACAATATGAATCCGTAGGCGAAGAGAGACTTGTGTCTGGATCTGATGATTTCACATTGTTTTTATGGAAGCCAGAAAAAGAGAAGAAACCTATCGGTATATTGTGTAGTCTTATAAAAGAGTCAAGTTGATCAATTAATATAAAAAATAAATTTTTCAGCAAGGATGACAGGTCATCAGCAACTTATCAATGATGTTAAGTTTTCGCCTGATGGCCGTACAATTGCGTCTGCATCTTTTGACAAGTCCATCAAGTTGTGGAATTCTAATACCGGAACGTACATCGCTTCACTAAGAGGTCATGTTCAAGCGGTTTATTCAGTGGCGTGGAGCGCCGACTCTCGTCTGCTGGTCAGCGGCAGCGCGGATTCAACCTTAAAAGGTGAATACAGTATTGAGTATAGGAAAATTCATGAATTGAAATGCTGGAGTGAAAAGTAACATCACATATTTCTTACAGTGTGGAATATGAAAACTAAGAAATTAAGTCAGGATTTGCCTGGTCACGCAGATGAGGTTTATGCTGTCGATTGGTCACCCGATGGTTTACGAGTTGCTTCAGGTGGAAAGGACAAAGTTTTGCGATTGTGGCAAAATTGAAGTAATACAGATTGAATTACTTTATAAAAAATAAAAAAAATTTTTTTCCCCACAGCCTTCCAAGATTATATTGCTTACGAATACGAATGCTCTATTTGCATCCTGATGTTTTTAATGATATTATTATTTAGTAGCAACGCATGAATATTTGAACGCGATGTCTGTTAGCTGCAGACAATACGCAAAAGCATTTCTTGTTCAGTATCAGTTTCTAGAGTTGATAAGAAGCGCGATTTACTAATTACTTATAGAAAGTTTTATTACTAATTTTTATTTGAGAAATAAAGGCAGTAGGTTAAAAGAATTCACCGAACACTTCAAGCCAGCATCGAAATATTGCGGATTTTTGAAGTGTTAAAATATAATTTTTTACATTTTAAAATAATATACTGCTCTTGTGTTTTAAATTTTAATTTTCACAGGTAAATTAATATCACAACTTGTGCACCTCTATTTTATAAATTCGTTAAAGTTGTCTCAGATAAAAACCAATTCCGCGGAATTGCAATCGATTGAAAATAATTCCTATCTTAGCAACGCTAATAAATTTACATGTAAAGATTTCGAGGATATGAAGAGACAGTAATATATTTGAAACGTAAATATAAAATATATAAAATATAAAATTATATATATATAATTTTATAATATATAAAATATTTTGTGCCGCGTTACGGGTTTCAAAACTGGTCTGCGGCACTTGGGGGTTGTTTACATTTCTATTTTCGCAATCTACTTACGGTATACGCGCGCTATTTATGCATTCCATTCTTTCGCTCTCTCTATTCTACTACATACGTATGTTATCCTGTACTACGCATCCTTTTCTTTGTAACCTCTTCTAGACAAGCGTGCGCATTGGTTTCTAAATCTATATATCCTTGAAATGTTTTACCGATTCATCAGTCGTATGACAACGCTAATACGGGTTGGTCGGTTTGTATTAGCGTGCTATCTTTCCCACTACTACCCTTACTATTCCTCTAATTTTCTAGTTTCCTCCCTTCTCACTACCTGTGCGTACACAGTGTCGAACGCATATTCCGTATGACGAGCAATATTCGAATTTTATTTTTATTTTAACAATGGCAAAATACGCATTAAGTGTGTCATGTGAAATATCGTGTATCGTAATAAAATTCACATCGAAATTATCAATTAAAGCATTGTATTAACATCGCGTTTGAATCGTGTTTGAATCGCGAAATGTGCACGAGATTGGCGTCACCTTCGGGCTTTTCGATGTCGGGAGTGCCGTTTAAAGTGTCGCGCGATTTTTGTTTTTGAAAATACACGCGTGCAATGCGTGTATAATGAAGAATTATTACAAAAACGCATGCGGGTTTCGTGTGTAACGTTGCCTCCGAACTTTTCGGTAAAATTTGCTGGCAATGTCGGGAGTACCGTTTAAAATGTCGCGCGTATTAGCGTCGCGATCGCGTGTGCCTTGAAATACAGCGAAAACTACGTGCACTGATTGTGAGAGGAAGACGAGACTCAGGAAGGATATCAGGCGTCGGCGGAGCAACTTTAGAGTAAGTGATTATTTGTTATTTATTATTTGCAAAATGTTACGAAATATTAGAAATAATCTGTAAAATATTCAATGAAATATTTGCAATATTTAATATTTATATTTGATTATTAGACAACTTTTATATATTTATTATTTGAAATAATTAAACTTGTTTTTAATAAATATTTTATTATATATTTGTTTAGATAAACAAATAAAAAATTTAATGTACGCAATTATTATTTTACAAATATTAATTACTTTGAACGCAGTTTTAATCTGGAGATTTACTTTTTACAGATCAACTTCGCAGATCAAAAGAACCACAATTCCGCCGCTGCACTTATTGGTGAGTGAATCCATTTTTATTTCAATGCGTTAAGGCAAATATGAATATAAAGATTTATACGTTATTTATGTATGATTAAAACAGTGGTAGGTTTATTGATTTTTATAAGATTCTAATATCTAATGATCAATAAAACATACAATTTAACATTTTAAATCATAAAGATGTAAGTAAATTTATTACATTATATTTTGTAATGTACATTTTATTTATTATTAGACACTGAAATTTTATACTATAAAAATCGGTAGGCCTAGCAATTTAAAACTTACATTTTCTTTGCAAAATGTTGTGCATTTTCTACTTTACTCCACAATACTTCTACTTTTCTACAATATTTTAAAATTTTTACTTTGTTTTAAAGAAATGGTCCAAATTGTTAAATTATATATTTTATTGATTCGACACAGGAATCTTAACTAAAAAAATTGGTAGACTTCCAGTGTTGAATAATCAATAAAATATACAATTTAGCAATTTGGATTATTTCTTTCTTTGAAACATAAGATTTCAAAGTATTGCAGTAAAAGAAATGTTAGGTAGGGTAATAAATATTGTGGCATTATATACATTGCGCGTTTTTTAAATTTTAAATTATTTATTTTACACTATTACTATATTGCATTTAGCTTTATTAAGATAATTAAGAATATTAACTTTTATACTAATTTATCATAAAATAGTTAAAGACAAAATTTCAATCAATATAATTATTTTATCGCCTAATATAGTTAATCGTAAAACAATTCAGGCAGTAAAAAATTAGTATTTTTTACTATTAATTGTTTTTACTTGCTTTTCAAGAATATTTTTGAATCAGGAAAATGTTTCAAAAGAGAGAACACTATAAAATTGCAACGTATAATTTATTGTCAATTGAGCGAAAAGCATTACAAGAGTTTACAGATTATATTAATAGTACCAGTTATTAATATACAATATATTAATATAATACGATATTAAAAATTATAAAAATAAAATGACATCGAAAAAATTAACAATAAATAAAAAACAATAAAAACTAGTCATAACAAACAACAGTAACAATATTAATAATCTGTAAGTTTATGGTACCCTTTGCACAATTATTTCTTCCATTAAAATTTTAATATAAATTATAATTAAGGACGTCAAATCTGTCTTCTCAGCTTGAGAACCGACTGGTAAAGAAAAATTTCTGAAATTCTAGATTACTCTTACGTACTTCCATTGTGTCTCGAAGTTCAGCCAAAACATGTGGATTTGATGCTAACACATTATTTGCTAAGTTTTCCACCTAAAATGAATGATTTTAGTATTGCTAAATAGTATTTTAATCTGACATAAAAAAAAATCTAACGCGCAATATAATTTTTTCGCGCTTTAAGTATTTAAATATTCTGAGATTATATAAAATTTACCTTGTTGAGTTGTGCTATAGAATGTACGTTTAGAATCAGTCGACTTATTATATTAGTTCCTAGTAGTGATAATCTACAACAGAAAAATAACATATTATTAGAATATATAATCATCTTTCGTGATTACGAACAATATGTATTTGAAGAAGAATTACCGAGGTATAAGTGTTTCAAAATGGTTTGATATGTAATTAAGTATTTCATCGTTGTGTCCATGTTTCTTGATGATAAAATTAATTATATCATCAAAATCGCTGTTTTCCCTTGTTGTATTTTTCGAAATTCGCCAAATATCTAAATACTTTAAAATGATTGCAGGTTTTTCAGCGCAAGCCAAAAATTCATAACGTCGGTCTAATAATTTTTGAAAGTATATATCCTTTGCTAATTGCCAAGTAGACGTATTTGCTGTCATCAAACCGGCGCACAACGTCCATTCTTGCCAATATGGCAAAATACTAAAATAAATTTATTAAAAAATTTATACATATCCGTATACATATACATGTAAAAATATATACAATACGAATTATAAAGTATTGCATGAGATTGCATAAGAAAATCTGCACAAGATAATTATGATTGAGAATTACTTATAGTTTTCAGGATCATCGATGTAGTTAAGCAATTTAGCATTGGCCACACTTTTGCATTTTGTATTACCGAAATAACACGCCCAGTGTGTAGCGTTTAGTCTTTCCAATTTTGTAAAATCATCGTCGTCAGGATTTTCCTCATATCCTAACTTTTCAAGACGACTACCGAGAATCTTGGAGAAGTGCAACTAGAAATTATTATATAAAACAATATAAATTTTACATTAATTTGTTGACTTTAGAAGAACAGTATGACTCAAGTGTATGAGTAATATATATGTTTATAAAGTCTTTATTAATTAATGAAAAATTAATGAAATTTCTTTACAATGCAGCAAAATCGTGATAACGAAAAAATTCAAGGTATTTTTATAATACCGTTCTATTATTTTAGAATTAAATGTTACGAAATTTGCTTGTGATTTTTATATACATATGTATATGTATCATGAGAAAATTGGTATAATATTTAACATGCAAAACATGAAAAGTATTACTACACATTTTCAGATATATATATAGTTAATTTTCTTGACAATTGTTACAATAATCTCACGTATAATCGATATTCTAAGTATACATGCACAAACGGCCTAATATTTCTTCTTACATTCTGTTTCTAAATCTGATGCACACACATTACTTACCTTTAAGTTTTTACTTTCCGGTAATAGAAAAGACTCTGATAATAATCCAAAAATTCTGAACATAGTATACCATACTACGTAATCCTTTTCTCGCGATAGATATTTCGTAAGGTTCATAAATATAGAGCCCTTGATTCTTTGGTACCTTACCAAAGAATATGCGTCATCGAGGAGTTGAACTCGATTTAAAACGTGTATTTTTATATATTCATCAGAGTTTAAGTAATCCACAATTTTTTGCCAATTTGTTTCATCGTAATTAACACGATAATATCCTGTCGAATAATATATAAGTGCCTTACTTATTCTTAGCATCTTTTATAAAATTTATTAGTAAATTAATTTTTTTTTTTTAATTATTTATTTTTTTTTGTATATCCAAAGCATATAGAGAATTGCATGCATTACAAAAGAATGTAAGAGCTATAAACTATTAATTATAAAATTATATAGTTAAAATAAAAAATTACAATGAAAAATTTTTATGTTATTGTACATTAAATTTAAATTGATTTGAATTACATAAATAATGACTGCATTTAAAACGAGATTTATTTTAACTGCAATAGCAGTAGTAGAAAATATTTTATAGAATAAACAAAAAAATGTAACAAATTTACTCATCAATACTTACCATATTGTTGCAAATTGACTATGATCCATTCATTTGGATCAACCGTAATGTTTATATTTTTAACTTCAGGTGATAGCCAAATGAAATAAGTTTTATAGAAATCGGGATTTGCCTGTGTTGCATAGGTCAACGGTAGCCACCATTTTTGATTGACATTTGTCGTAGAAAAATATTGCTGCGTTATTATCGTTTTGCCAGTTATGTAATCTCGTTTCACGGTCACCAAGGGATAACGAATATGCTTCATGTAAGCGTCCATTACTGTTTTTATTCTAAAGGTTTTGTGTGACACTGTTGAATTAAAATAAATACTAAGTTTCGCGAACTCGTCTGTATGATTGTTTTGAATAACGGATTTGAAATATTCCTCGATGAAAGGATGTTGTATGCTGTGCCAAACTTGTTCGGAATCAATTGAGCCATACGCACTATAATTGCAAAATTATATTGTCAGTAGTGAACAATGTGCAATATATTTTACGTACAAAAATATAAATCTAATATTTAAGTTGTTCAGGTGTTAATTTATAACAATTTAGAATTTAATATACGTAACTAAAAACAGTTAATTTGAGAAAAAATTATATAATATAATAAAGAATTACATTTCTCATACACGGAGAAAATTTTATATAAAAATTACTATGTACGGCATTAACCGTGGACCATAAAGCCGCGACCGGAAAATTTTTACTATGTTTCACATGTGAAAAACATAGTAAAAATTTTTATAATTCCTTCATGGTCCGCGGTTATCGTACATAATAATTTTTTATATAAAATTTTCTCCGTGTACAATAGAATGCATATAGTTTATAATTGTTAAACATAGATATGTGTTACTCACTTATTCTGTACATAGTTTATGATACCTTCGTTGAATACGTCATGGGGAAAATAATCATTGGTTGTTATAAATTGCAACATGCGTAATAAAGCTGATGCTATGGAGATTCACATTAAAATACAATGATTAAATATATTTAAATATAGAAATATTTATATATACATGTATTCTCTGCAGATATATAAATCTGCTTTTCATGATATTTAGGAAAAAAATTTAAAGACGATTATTTAATTTTATTTGCTTAGGTCTTACCTTTTGCACTAATAGCGAGAGATGTATATTGTAACGTATATTTCAAAAAAGAGAACTGAAATCTTATGTCGTTTGATACCACAGGAGTCATGGTGTAACCAATGTCATTATAAAGAGAGGAATGCATATCTTTGACTACCAGCAAGTCCATAGTTCGCCAATCTTCAAAGATCTTAGAGAGAACAGATTTATTATATGATTGAATATTCGTATCGGGAGAAATGTTTGTACTAGGGATATGAACTACATGTACAATATAAATAAGTAATATATATAAAATAAAGCAGTCTTTTATCTCTTTTAAAATATGTGTAACATAATTGTTTAAGATTAGACATCATTGAAAAACTAATTAAAAATTGTTATTGCACTAACATGTCAATTCAAATATGTTAATTTTGGATGATTTTATCTTAATTAATTTTACATTTAATTTTGCAATTTTAAAGCGTTACCTTATTGTGATTTTAACAAATAAAACGAAAAATTTACACAATTTAAGAATGGCAATATAAATTTATATTAAACTTATGCTAGATTTATGTAACCGTTTGAGTGCCGAAGGCAATCACAAGAATGTGTGCAAGAAGAAGTGTCGAGTAGCTTTTTGATTTTTTTATTTCACTATTTTACTTATTAATGGAGGATAGGATTATGAGACGGTTGTTTAGCGTAGTCTTCTTCGTTTTTCTCTAACTGAAAGATTAACTTAATTTTGTTTTTTGGTATTTTGTGGCAAGAAAAAACCAGGAGAAGCGTGATCGTGTTTCCTAGCACTCAAACGAATTCATTTGTAGTAGAAACATAAACTAACCATATCGAGGATGTATGCCTTGAAAAACTTGACGAATCCGTCTCTCAACCATATCCAGGTCCACCTAGATGGGGTGATCAGGTTACCGAACCAATGACGTATCACATGTTCTGCTATTAAATCCGCTACTTGTCTTTTTTTCATGCCAGGGATATCTTCATTTTTTTGGACAAAATCTGATTCTCTGAAAATAATTTTTATACACGATTATATCGAAAGTTATAACTGTAAATATATAATTTAATATACGTTTTTTTCTTTTTTAATAATAAGCCTGCAAAATAGAATGCATTATACATATTTTTACACGTATTTAGATATAAAATTCCGGAAATTTGCGTAATATTTTTCAATGATAAATTTTTCTGAATGTTATATGCAACTTGGGTTTTTAATATTTTTTTTTAATTAAGTATTACCTGTAAATGACGAGTGCCCAACTGCTCACGGTTTTAGTGATTAATGAATCCGGCAACAGAACGATATTTATCATTGGAACATTACAAAATGACGTATAATCAGATAAGTACTTAATGACATTTTTAGCAACATCGTGCATAAATTGCAATTGCATGTGCGTTAACAAAGTCGGTCTGCACCATATATTAACAGTCTTGGATGTGAAAGTATTAGAAATGTGAACAGGATCGAATACAACAGCTGCTACGAGATGAGTGGACATTTTGGGAGTGGTTTCAAATTCTGTCCATATTATATCAGTGTCAGACATGTTCCGTTGCATTTGAGACGTCTGCTTTTCCGGCATATTTGATAAAACTTTATATTTTTTATCATGCATTATAAGTATATCGAAGGTGGCTTTTAATGTTGGTTCATCCCAGCACGGAAATGTTTGTCGGGCTGTAAAATCTTGCGATTGCGTTACGGCTACCCTACATTTTTAATAATATATTTTAGATAATGATAAATTTTCAACTATTGTAGATTATTAACAATTTTTTTATATGCAAAGAAGTCTTAATTTTATCTAAAAATGATCTTTTCGAGATATAAAGTACACTTCACGGCAACGAAAAAGTATCTCGTAAATAGAATTTTCTTGATCGATATATATATATATATATTAACGTATTTAATTTACATGAATATATATATATATAATTAAAATTTTAATTAGATATTAACATTTTTATCCATAATTTGTGTCTAGAGTCACGTATTTAAGCATATTTTAACCAATTTTACATATTGCGTAGTCTTTGCATATAATAACAACAATAAATAGTGTTTACATTCAAAATTATAGTGTGCTGAATACATCTTCAATATTTTAACATTTACTCACATTTGTCTTTGTCCTTCGTTGCTTATGTATGATTTTGTATAAAAACCTTTGTCTTTAGTTGAATATGCATTCCCAGTGAAATTCATGATCAAATCGTAACTTCCTTTTAGTAACTCTTCTTCAAAAATAAGGGTTAACATTTCTTTCATATTATTATAATGATATTCTTTCGGTACATACTTATCATTATAAAGACCACGTACATATGTCATTGTTTCGTTTATGCTTAAATGTAGTAAGTCTATGCTAAAATTGTATGTATCTCGACGTATCTCGAAAGAGGCAATCAAATTGCCTGTACTCGTGGCCTCTGTTTCCATGTTCGGAATTAGTCGAATGGTATAGTGTTTCGGCAGTACATTGTCCGCCGAATAACAATTTTCACATGATTTTGAATTTTTTATACAAAAAACTGCGAATATTAGGCCAACATTTAATAATAATTTCATATATTCCATATTGCTCGTTTTTTCGTGATTGTGTAAGCTTCTTTTCTGTTAAAAAAGAGAAATATTTTTCTTAAAAAATAATTTTATAGATAAAAGTAGCGTGTATCCAGTTGACTCTCCAGAGAGGTATTATTGGAAATAGAAAACTTAAATTTTTCGCTACGATTTGAAGAGAGACGTAATGATCTTGATTGAAATGATCTCGAAGACAACAAACTTGATATGCATATTTCTGTTTTTATTAAAATAGGTTTTTTCAAAAATTATTAAAGTTTCTTTAATGGAACAATATCAATCTTTATTTTACAATATTGTGATATTAAGCAAGTGAGGGACATGAAACATATTTTACCGAAATGTATAGCAATGTACTTTTCAAGAAATTTCAACGGAAAAATAAAAAAAAATATACAAATTGTGAAGTTAATTTTCTCAAATGACAAGGTTTCACAGTAATCGTTACAAATAAATATATCTAGTTTATCAACATGGTCTAGTCTCGAGCTTCAATGTTTGTTGGTACTTTTTTCTCTCATATCAATACATACCAAACATGTAAAGAACGGATAGTTAGAGACGGAATCAAATTCACTTGAAATTTTGTTAAATGTACTCCTTCACACGGAGAAAATTTTATATCAAAAATTATTATGTACGGTAGTAGCCGCGGACCATGAAGGAATTATAAAAATTTTTACTGTTTTTCACATGTGAAACATAATAAAAATTTTTGGTCCGTGGTTAATGCCGTACATAGTAATTTTTTATATAAAATTTTCTCCGTGCATAAATAAGTCGGAGTAAGCGCGATTGGAATAAATGCTGAAGATGTTATACACATTTTTCTTAGAAAACAAAAATTAACATTTGCTAATTATTTTGTTATTCGTTTACTCATGTACCTGATTAGCTTTAACGGTACTTTTAACGGTTCGTCATAGATATTGAAAATAATGAAAAAAAGCGCAATAGAATTTAAACGGAATTAAATATTTTTAGTATTCTAACATTTCATTAAAAAAGACTTAAAGATGACTGCAAAGAAATATTGTTTTATTTGTCTCTCAAAATTGTTTCAACTATGTTCAACATTCTTCTTTTATACGTTCGAGGACAAGTATAATATTTAAATATTCCGCTTCCCGATAATTTATTTATATACAAAACTTGTGCGAAAATTAAAACACTGTTTTATAATACAATTAATAATCGCAACGGATCGTTAATGCCGAAAGAATATATTATATATGAAACAAATGAACAATCACGATTGTCTTACCTTGTCAAGGGATTATCGCTGATTTGCAAGTGTACCTTACGAAGTTTGATGTCCTTATGAGTCCGGTATTGCCAGGTACATATTTTCTGAAGTCTCACATAGATAGATGTCCTTCTAGTCGGCGAATACAAATCTCAATATATAGGACATCTCTTATTAGCATTTCCTTAAACCGCAAATTTTGATTCAACTTTTGATAAAAATTTTGACAAATTGATTTTAGTCATAACGATTAAAAATCTAAAGGTCTCAGAAATTTAGACTGTAGAAGATAAATAAATAAATTTTACTATTTGTTATGTAATTAAATTTTTATTCTCTTTAATTAAGAGATTATAAGTTATATTTTTAATTACAATATCAGTTTTTTTTTATTTAAAAAGTTATTGTCCATATATTATTATAAATTAAAGAAAACTGAACATTATATAATATATATAAGAAAATATATTAATGCTTTCCTGCATAATTAAAACAATCGAATTTGATAAAGTACCACATGGTATTAGAGTAACTTTGATTACAAAAATTTTTCAGAAAATGTAAATGTTAAGAATAGTAACACATAATCGATTATTTATTATTCTGTTAGCAAAATACCTCAAGATTGTCATTTTATAAAGATTTATGATTCATGCAATAATTCAAAATATTGATGCAACGCAAAAATTATAAAAATAGTCAATATCAGTAATATTAAAAACCATTCATAATAATAGTATACTGCAAACTTCTGTTATATATATAACTTCTTATAACATATATATATATAACTCAAATATATAACTTCTGTTATATATATTCTCAACTTTGATTGATTAATTACTCAAATTTTCACGTTTTATTGTAGAATATCTTGTCAAAGTTGCTCTTCAGAGCGTGGATTTTCATTCGCTGCCATTCTATTTTATCCCTATTTGTTTCATATACGGAAAAATCGTTACTGAAAGCCATCAATCGAAAATATAGCTGAAACAAATAATTCCAATATTTTTCAACAAAAAGTAATTTATGTTCTTATTATAAAAATCAAAACACAATTTTCGACTTTAAAAAATATGTTGCATATACACATGTAAATTTAGTAATAAGAGGAAGAAAGGGGTACATATTTGTATGAATTGCAAAGTTGAAAGACTTACGTTATTAAGTAGGTCTTCGGAATAGATGTTTGTAATAATACTATCGAATGTATCATTTAAAGACATTGACCTGGGAAATCAAAGTATATTTATATTAATTTGTATAAACTTTGCTAATATATAATTCTTTCTAATATATGATAATATAATGAGAGATATATAAGAAAAATGACATTACTCGGGTTTTAACGCCATAATATTATCCGTGATATGAGAGAAAATTTTACTGTCGCTGATGTGCTGCTTTATAATAGTATTGAAAATATTAGCCTGTTTTGCTTCTATTAACACATTGTTCTCTATTCTATGTAAAAGCGTAATGGTGTTATTAGAATCCTCACTGCAAGGTAAAAAATTTAAAATTGTTTCGTTCTTCGTTTTTTCATATAACTGGTATACTTTATCCCAAATTGAAGGGTCTTCTGTTTTTAAACCAAAACAGAACGTCCAATTTTCCCACCACGGCAAAATTCTAAAATATTCATAAAAAGAAAAATACATACCAATATATATTAGCATATTAATTTATGAATCGTCGCGTGTGCGAGATACAAGGAATGCACAGCTATAATGTAATTGTGACTGTAAGAAAAATTACTTGTATATTGTGGGATCTGCGAGATGCTTCCTTAATTTTTCGGCGGCTGCGCTTATACATGTTGGGTTACCGAGAGTACATGCGTAGAATGCTAGATTTTGCCTTGCCTTTCTCGTAAGATCATCATCGTTAGGATCTTCAGGATCTTCTTCGTATCCTATCTCGTTAAGAATGTTAGTGAAATAACTCGCAAAGTGCATCTAAAAGTAATTAAGTAATATAAATTTTAAATTAGTTTATTGTTTTTTACAAACAGACGTAAAATTACTATACGTATTTATAATAATCAGAAGACGTAACTAAACTTTTTTCAATGTGAATGTTTTACTTCCTTTATAAAACACCCAACGATTATGGAGAAAAAATCGATATTTTATATTTATACACACAGAATTAGATTAGATTATAACAGTGAACATCTTCTACTAAATGTCTAAAATTTTTATTGTTTACCTGAAGGTTTTTACTCTCTGGAAGTGGAAAGTATATCGACAACATATCTAAACATTTTAACATGGGAACCCATACTATATAATCTATCTCTATCGATAGATAACTCGTAACAAGTGAGAATAAGGCCCAATCTGTTTGTCTATCTTTGAATATATGACATATGTCATCAATAATTTGTGCTCGATTTAATACGTGTATATTTGAATAATCATTATAGTGCAAGTAATTCGCAATTTTTTCCCAATTTGTGCGATCGTAATGGACACGATAATATCCTGTTGTACAATATATAGCAATTTCATCGATTAGTGAGTCTTGTTGTTTAATTTATTAAAAATTATTTTGAAATATCTACGTTTTTTCTTTTTTTTTTTGTATAAATAGATATAAAAAGCAGATAAAAGCATTAGATGTTGGTATTGCAAAAGAAATAAATGTTATAGATAATAAAATAATTAATGTAGATAATTAACGAAGTGAGATTTATCATAATTACAATAACAGTAGAGCAATATTTTTTTCATAATATTTTATCGAATTATATTGTGTTTACGAGAAAAATAACATTTTAATGTAATAACTTACTAGAATATTTTAAGTAAAAATGTTAAGTAATATAAAGTTTTACTTATATAAAATAAACAAAAAAGTTTATTATCTTAATCGATGAATACTTACCACTTTGTTGTACATTAACTATAATCCACTCCTTAGGATTTGTTGTTATACTTATAGTTTTGTCCTCCGGTCTTAGCCATGAAGTAGGGATGGTTTTATCAAAAGCAGGATACGACTGTTTAGTCCAGGTCACAGGTATCCACCACTTGGATGATGTGGCGTTAGGTACGATTTCGAATGATTTGTAAGGTAGTTGCGAAATTATTGTCTCGCCAGTTACATAATCTCGCTTCACGGTCACTAAGGGAAAACCTTTTTGTGTTATCCATGTATCCATTACTTTTTTAATATCAACTTTGGATACTGATGTAGCCTCTAGAGCAGTTTGCATAGTAAACCATAAATGGTCGGTAGTAACCAATCCATTCTTACTAAATATGTAAAATAACATTATCATTAATAAACATTGCAATAAATTCCACGTCAGGAAATATATATAAATGTGTTATTTGCAATTTTATTTTATTTATCAAAAAATATAAATTTTTATATAGATAATAATTTAAAATTACTGGAAGATGGTTTACAGATGTACACATTTTTTAGTTGTGACTGATTAAGTGATTATCTTTAGTTTTATATAACAGTAAAATTATATCATTAGACTTATGACGCTATTGCGTTACATCGCATATCGTATATTATTATATAGAATATTATTAATACATTATTAGTATGAATTAGTTATATACTCACTATTCTTTTAAATATTTGATGACACCTTTTTGGAATGTTTCCTCACCCATTATATGTTGCAACATACGCAATAGAACAGATCCTACAACGTACATCATAAAGTAATAAACATTAAGTATGTTCAAAATAAATTTATTCCAATTTTATGAATATTTCTACCTTGCTAAAAAGTCATTAATTAAAATTTTTAAGTACATGTTTTCTCATTTTTGTAGACTAACGCATAATGCATAATGTTATGCATGATAGTGCATAACATATGCATTCCAGATAAATCTTTTACATATAAAAGAAAATTTGCGGACGACTATTTAACTGTGAATTTACTTATAAGCTTAAGTATTATACCTTTACGGTAAACATCGGACGTAGATTTTAATGACAAGATATCAAAGTTGTTGTTGATTTCGGACAAAACAGGAGGCATTAAACCGTTATCTTTGAGCAATGACACATGTAAATCTTCCACTACCGTGAAGAATATCTCAATCCAATCCTCATACATCTAGAGATAAATGTATCATAATCAAATATATTATCAAAAGAAATGCTGACGTATTAAGTGTACGAATTAAGCTCGCTTTAAAGAAAGCTTTTCTATTATGATTTTTCACATAATATCTACGATACGAATATAACAGATCATATAAATAAATAAGATATTCTTTTTAATCATGTACCACGTAATTATTTTAGATTATACATCGTTAAAGTCATTGCGAAAGAATTGTGACTTTTTTTATATATTTAAGTTTTTTAAATTTGAACGCATATATTTAAACATATATATTCCGTTTTTTAGTTGATAAAAATTACATGACATAACGAGATATCAAGTGTATAGTACTTTTGAATTTGTATTAAGAATATAAAATCACCTGGTCCAAGACATAGCGTGAGAAAAGCAAAGCGAAACTTTCGCTTATCCATGAGTGAATCCTCCACTTTGGCGTGACCAAGCCACCAAATAATTGACGTGCCACTTGAGTTGCTACTGTGTTCGCAACTTGAATTTTGACACTAATAGCATCTTTGTTCTTGTCGTAGATAATATCTGATTCTCTGAAATTCGTAATAAAATTTATACATAATACGATTGTGGCAAAAGTCTTTGTTATAATTGTGCACAAGCGTTATTTACTCAACGTTACTCATAGTTTAAATGTTAATGCAAAAGCATCTGCGCGGATGACTCAGATAGATCTTGCTCTTTTGATTTAATGATAAACTTAAATGATGTCGTAAAAAATAGGTGTGCTATCTCTATTATGAATCATATCTTAATTGATTTGCAAGCAATTTATGGATATCAAAAAAAAAGATTAATTTACATTTTTGTATATACTTTAACTATTGCATTTCTTTATGTGGATGAAATAAAATGCGACATGTTTAAGATATTTTGCATACTTAAAGAAAACAATACACATAAGTTCGCGGGTTACTAATCTGATGAAAAAGTTTAGGCCGATATACAATTTTCATAGTTAATTTCAGATGTTACTAAAGCGAAGTAACAAAACATTGCGGGGATTGATCTATTATTTTAATCTTTGTCAAATTAACATCTGCGTTTAATGTCGATATCTATACATATTTTTCCATTGCGTATATCACCTGTAGACAAGAAGTCCCCAATGTGCCTCAGAATACGGTACATCCGATATTACGATCTGATCAATCTTTCGAGTTTCCGAAGAAACATTTGTGTACCGGAACAAATGCTTCAGAACTTTTTCGACAATGCTGTGCGCGAAATAAATAGTTGATGTTGCATCTGATTTGCACCATGTAAAGACGGTTTCTCGTGGATTAGCAATTTTACTGAATGGTGTAAGTACAATCACCAATTGATGAATAGACATTATGGGGGTGGTGTCGAACTGTGACCATGTCATAGTAGTATAAGAATTGTAGCGTCTTGATAACGGCATATTTGACAAAGCCTTGTATTCTTTGGAATGTTTCACACTAATGTCGAAGGTAGCTTTGAACGCTGGATCATCCCAGCATGGAAATAACAACTGGGTTGCAATTTTCCCAAATTGCGTCAAAATGAAACTTCTATGAAAAATAGGTGTCTTAGACAAGTGTCGTAAATTTACATAAACATTCATAATAACATTAAACACATATAACTTTAAACATTCATAATAAGTATAGATATTATAGAATAGAATAGAACATTATTTTATTCTTAAGAATTATATGATATATATAATGAATTTGTAGGATACGATATGTGTACAATACAATGCTGAAACAGGCGCAAGAATGTTCGCGTTCGACATTAGCTTTTGCATGTACAAATTTTAAACTAGTATATTTACTTACCTGTTTTGTCCAATCGTCATAGTTTTATTGTGCAAGTTGCTTTGATAAAAGTTGTATTTAGAAGTTGATTGAAATTTTATCCGCAGAATATACCTTCCAGGTGGCACTTTTTCTTGAAAAGATATTGCTAAAATCTGCTCTTGAATCATATAAGAGTTGTTCACAGCAATGATTCCTTGATCATTGATCAGCATTGCCCTCGAGTTATATATTTTTAAATGTTTTGCATTTAGGAATAAAACTTGTATGGGAGAAAGAATGTGAATATTGATATGGACAAGACCGATATAAGTAGGATAGGAAGATTTGATGTTCACTATTAGCTTGAGTGTATAATGTGTCGGATATACATTTCTCAATTGAAGTTTATCTAGGTAGTTGTCATCTATTGTCTCGGTAGCGAATGTTAACCCGATACTCACAAATAGTATCACTTTTATGTAGTGCATGTCAGCTCTCGTTACGGGAGTCTACACAAACATTTGTTGCTTCTGTTAGATAAAGAATTTTAATGATCATGATATATCCGAGTAATGATTCTAAGGAAATAAAACTCTACGTTTATCGAAATTATTTGAAGCAATTTCTTTCATATCTTTGAGAATTATGATATTTATATATTCTATTTTGCGATAATTTGTTTATGTATAAAACTTGTGCAAAAATTAAAATACTGTTTTATCAATTTTAATTGTCGCGTTGTCGCTACGACTTGTTAGTACCAAAAGAATATTACCATAATCATAATTGTCTTACCATGTCGAAGGATTATCACTCACTTTCTACAGTGTCAATATTTGATGTCCTTGTAAGCACATTATTGCCAAGTATACACATTTTCTCACGTAGATGTCCTTCTAATCGGCGAATACAAAATCTCAATTATTATATGTCCGATAAAAATGATTCTAAGGAAATAAAACCATGTTTATCGAAACTGTTTGAAGTCATTTCTTTCACATCTTTGAGGAGAAATCTAATATTTATATATTCTATCTTGCAATTATTTGTTTATGTATAAAACCTTACACTTAGGATATCTGTTATTAACATTTTTGTTAACCGTGAATTTTGGTTTGATTTTTCCGTAACAAAAATTTGGAGAAGTTGATTTCAAGCAATTTAAAATGGGAAAGTCTCAGATAATTAAAAAAAAGCAATAAATAACAATAGTATAATAAACAATATTTTCCTCTTTAATTAAGAGATTTTTAGATTCTTTATTACAATATCAGTTTTTTTTAGTTAAAAAAACTTTTGTCTACATAAAATTATAATGTCAAAAAAGGTTGAACATTATATAATATATATAAGAAAACATTAATTTTCTTGTATAATTAAATCAAACGAGTTTGCAAGTGTTTTATAATATTACAGTAACTTTGTTTACAAATTTTTCAGACAATATAAATGTTGAGAATAGTAACAAAATAATCAACTATTATTCTGATAACAAAATATCTCAAGACTGTATTATTCTATAAAGGTTTATCAATGGTTCAAAACATTGATGCAATATAAAAATTATAAAAATTCAATATCAGTAACATTAAAAACTATTAATCATAATAATAATATATTGCAAACTTCTATATATATTTTCAACTTCGGTCTGTTTGGTTGAATAATTATATGAAAAATTTTGTTTCATTTATAGGGAATAACCAGTCATAATTGCTCTTCAGATCTTGGACTTTCTTCCGTTGCTTTTTTATCTTATCCTTATTTGTTTCCAGTGTGTAAGAATCATTAATCAAAATCATGAATCGGGAATATAGCTGAAACAAATAATTTCAATATTTTTCAATAAAAAGTAATTTATGTGTTCTTATTATAAAAATCAAAACACAATTTTTGACTTTAAAAAATATGTTGCATATACACATGTAAATTTAGTAATAAGAGAAAGAAAGGGATATATATTTGTATGAATTGCGAAGTTGAAAGACTTACATTATTAAGTAGGTCTTCGGCATAGATGTTTGTAATAACAGTATCGAGTGTATCATTTAAAGACATTGATCTGGAAAATCAGAGTATATTTATATTAATCTGTATAAACTTTTCTAATATATGATAATATAATGATATATAAGAAAAGTGATATTACTCGGGTTTTAGCGCAATAATATTATCCATAATATAAGAGAAAATTTTATGGTTGCTGATGTACTGCTTTATAATAGTATTGAACATATTAGCCTGTTTTGCTTCTATTAACTCATTGTTCTCTATTTTATGTAAAAGCGTAATGATGTTAATAGTATCCTCACTGCAAGGTAAGAAGTTTAAAATTGTTTCGTTCTTTGTTTTTTCATATAACTGGGATACTTGAGCCCAAATTGAAGGGTCTTCTGTTTTCAAACCAAAACAGAACGTCCAATTTTCCCACCACGGCAAAATTCTAAAATATTCATAAAAAGAAAAATACATATCAATATATATTAGCATATTAATTTATGAATCGTCGCGTGTACGAGATACAAGAAATGCACAACTATAATGTAATTGTGACTGTAAGAAAAATTACTTGTATATTGTGGGATCTGCGAGATGCTTCCTTAATTTTTCGGCGGCTGCGCTTATACATGTTGGACTACCGAGAGTACATGCGTACCGTGCTAGATTTTGCCTTGCTTTTTTCGCAATATCGTCATCGTTAGATTTTTCTTCGTATCCTATCTCGTTAAGAACGAAATGAAAATAATTTGCGAAGTGCAGCTAAAAATAATTAAGTATTATCAATTTTAAATTAATTTATTGTTTTTTACAAACAGACGTAAAATTAATATACGTATTTATAATAATCAAAAGACGTAACTAAATTTTTAATGTGAATGTTTTACTTTCTTTATATAATACTCGAAGATTATGGAGAAAAACCCGATATTTTATATATATATATATATACTCAGAGTTAGATTAAATTATAATACTGAACATCTTCTACTAAATGTACTAAAATTTTTATTGTTTACCTGTAAGGTTTTTACTTTCTGGAAGTTGAAAGTATATCGACAGCATATCTAAACATTTTAACATGGAGACCCATGGTATATAATCACTTTCTCGCTTTAAATAAAGCGTAATTAACGAGAATAGGTCCCAATTCACATACCTATAATTATTTTTTTTGGAAATTATCACAGATATCATCAATAAGTTGTGCACGATTTAGTACATGTATTTTTGCAATACTGTCACTCTTCTGTAAGTAATGGCCAAGGTTTCGCCAATTTTTGAGATCATAATGGACACGATAATATCCTGTTGTACAATATACAACAATTTTCAATTAGTAAGTTGTCTTGTTAAATTTACTAAAATTAAGTTTACTAAAAATTGTTTTAAAACAACTTGGTTTGTTTTTTTTAGTACACAAAACTGATAAAGGCTGGTATACATTACAAATATTACGTATTACAAAAAAAAATGAATGTTGTACATAATAAAATAATCGATGAAAGATGATAAACGAAGTAAGATTTATCATAATTGCAATAACAATAGAACAATATGTTTTTCATAATATTTTATCAAATAATATTGCGTTCACGCTTACCGTGTTGATGAAAAGAGCAACATTTTAATATAACGAACTACTCGTGGAATGTATATAATTTTATAATTATAAATAAAAATTATAAAAATGTTGAATAATGTAAATATATAATAAACAAAGAAGTATAATATATTTATTGATCAATACTCACCAACTTGTTGTACATTAACTAAATACCAACTGGTGTCTGCTGGCATCTGAAACTCTATTCTTGTCGTCGGTGTTAACCACCAAAATATCCAATATTGGTTGCTAACATATGGCCGCGATGCACTTGTCATATAGGTGACAGGTATGGTCCAGTTGGACCCAACATCCTGATTCTTATAGTAAGCATGTTGTGATATCGTCACGAAGTTAGTTTCGTAATTTCGTTCAGCCCATAGTACAGGAAAACCTTTTTGCTTTGTCCAAGAATCTACCAGTTCTCCTATGTCCACATGTTTTTGCCGCAAAGTGTAGTGACTATGTGCACTTACTACGTATTCCCATTCGCGCAGGACGGAGTTTAAATCGTCGGTAGTAACTGATCTATATTTACTAAATATGCAAAATAACATTGTTATCAGTGAGCGCAATAAATCCCATGTTTGGGAACATATACATATGAATGTATTATTTGAAATTTAATTTAACGTAAATTAATCTATATAGGTGATAATTCAAAATAAGTTGAAAAGACTAGATATACTTATATATCTCTTGATAACTAATTATATAATTATCTTTAGTTATATATAACAATTAAACAAAAAAATATATCATAAGGCTTATGACATCACTGGGTGACATATGTATATCTATCGTATATTATTACACTGAATATTATTAATACATTAGTATGTACGATATATATTATATACATGAGATTATATTATACTCACTATTTCTTTAAATATGTGATGATAACGTCTTGAAATTGTTGTGCGTACATACTAGATAACATACGCAATATAAAGGCTCCTATAATTGACATTTACATCATAAATTAGAAAACATGAAGTATGTTGAAAATAAATGTATCCTAGCGTTTGTTAGTTCACTAATTTTTCTAATTTGCCAAAGAGTAATTAGTTAAAAATCTTAAGTATATTTTTTCTCACGTTTGTAGATTAGCGTTAGTGTATAAATGCATTCCAAATAAAAGTGTTACATTTAAAATTTGCGAGGACGACTGTTTAATTGAATTTATATATATATATAAAAGCTTAAGTATCGTACCTTTATGGTAAGCATCTGACGTAGGTCTTAATAAGGCCTCTGATACGATATCAGAGGGATTGTTGATTTCAGAGACAACAGGAGGCATTGAACCATCATCTCTGCGCATTATATCATAGTAATTTTCCACTAACTTCAATTGTGCAGCCTTCTTCAAGTATGCACTATTACAATCAGGCTTGTTCTCACACAGTTCTGCCTAAAGATAAATGTATTATGATTAAATATAGTATAAAAAAATGCTAGTTTATTAAATGCATGAACCAGCTCATCTACAATGTGAATATAAAAGACCATATAAATAAATTCAGATAAATAAAATATTTTTTTAAATTATATACCATGTTATTTTAAATTATACATTAAAACCATTTTGAAAGAATTGCGACAGTTTATATTTACATTTAAACATATATATTAAAATTTATATGTAAAATATGAAATATATGTTAAATTTAAACACACATATATTAAAACATATACTTATATATTCAATTTTTTAACTGATAATTACATGATACATTAAACATAGAGAAAACTCGAAAATCTTAGACTACGATTATTTCAGTCGTAACAGTTGTAAAAAATTTACGAAATTTATGTATTTTATATGCGTTGTTTATATGCATTAGTACGCTCTCGAGATATCAAGTATTGTGCTTTTTGAACTGCATTAGGAATATAAAATTACCTTGTATATGGAATAATGCGAGAAGTACAGAGCGAAACTTTCGGTTAGCCACAAGTGATTCCACGATTTCGGCGTGACCAAGCTACCAAACCATAGATGTGCTATTTGAGATTCTATTACGTTCACCGCGTCCATTTTGACACTAATAAGATCTTTGTTCTCATCGTACTTAACATCTGATTCTCTAAAAATTATTTATGCTTAATACAAATGTGGAAAAAGTTTTTGTTATAATTGTACAAGCGTTGCTTATACGATGTTACTCATAGTTCAAAATTGGCTAATTAGTTTGTTAATGCAAAAGCATCTGCGCAGATGATTCAGATAGGTCACCTTTTGCTCTTTTGAATTAATGATAAACTCAGATGACAAAAATACGTGTTGTACTAAATTAATCTGACTTATGAATTATACCTTAATTGATCCATTAGCCTTTATGAATATCCAAGAAAAGATTAATTTACATTCTTTTATTCGTGTGTATACTTTAACTATTGCATGAAATAAAACGCGACATGTTCAAAATACTTTGCGTATTGAAAGAAAAAAAATCACATGCAATTCCGCGTTAATAATCTAATGAAAAAATTTTAATGGATATATCATTTTCATGTAGTTAATAGATATTATTAAAACGAGGTGAATAATCTTTGCGATGATCGATGCATTACTTCAACTTTTGTCAGATTAACATCTATATCTATTTTACATTACGTATATTACCTGTAAATAATGAGTCCCAAATTTGCCTCAGAATGTGGTGCATTCGGTACTATGACGTGATGAATCTCTTGTTCTCCCAAAGAAATATTTGTGTATTCTACCAAGTTCTTTGTTACATTGTCGACAGTACTGTGAAAAAGTGATAAAATTGATTGTCTCTCAGACTTGAGCCAGGTGTAGACGGTTTCTCTTGGGTCAACAAGTATATCGAACGGCTTAAATAAAAGCATCAATTGATAAGTGGATATCATGGGAGTGATCTCGAATTTTGTCCATTTCATGTAAGTCTCAGCATCATTAGCATCATAGATTTCTGATATCGGCATATTTGATAAAAGTGTGTATGCCGCCTCGTGCTTCACATGAATGTTAAAGGTAGTTTTGTATGCTGGATCGTCCCAGCACGGAAACAAGTATCGGGTCGCAGTTTTTTTGAATTGCTTCATAAGCAAATCGCTATATATAAAAAAAGTGTTTCAGATAAATTTTTAATCATTTATAGCAAATATAGATATTAGAAAATATTATCTTATTTTTAAGAATTATATAATATATCATAATAAATTTGTAGTGCACAATGTGTATGTAAAATCAGTATTGACACGCATAAAAATTCATACTCGATATTAGCTTTTGCATATACAAATTTAAAATAAAATAGTATATTTACTTACTTTTTTAGTCCAAACATTACATGTTCAGTTGGCAACTCATTTCGAAAGAAGCTGTAATTTGCTGCAGTTGATTCAAATAGAATCTTCAGAACGTAATCGCCAGGGAACACACGTGTCGTGAATTTTATTACCAAAAATTCGTCAATCGTGTAAGATCTGTCCACAAAATGGATTACCTTACTATTGCTCAGCGTTGTATAATAATCATCTATTATTATATTCTTTCCATGTAGATAGAAAGTTTTAATCGTTGCATCAGGAACAACAGTGATATTGATATAAAGTCGACCCTTCAGGGATATGATAGGATAGGCTTTGGTATTCACTCCTAGCACGACGTTATAATGTTTCGGGTATGCAGTAGTTGACAAATAGGTTACATTTTTATCTTGTTGCTGATCAGGTATTGTTTCGATGATATCTGGATTCATAGAATTTGTTGTTTCGATGGCGAATGTCAACCAGATATTTACAAGCAGTATAACTTTTAAGTAACCCATGCCGACCCTCGTTTTGGAAGTCTACACATACATTTGTTGCTTTTATAAAAAGAGAGTAGTGCAAATAAAATTTAGTAAAAATTTATCTAATATAGTGTTTCATATAACATAGTAATATGAGAAATACTTCTATCATAAAACTGAAAAATTTCTTTTATATTTGATCAACGTAATTATATTACCGTTAACAATCAAAATGTTGTTGGTTTTAAAGATTTCGAATTTATTTCGCTATTGATATTTTGCTCGTATATTAAAGTAAAAACACGGCTTTTTTATAACAATAAATTGCACTAGACGTTTTATCGTTACTGAATTGTTAATATCGAAGATATAAATCGAAGATATAAGATATAAATCAATCGTGAATGTGGACTTACCATCTCGAAGGACTACCGAAAACTGCCAATAGTATTAGGACTAACAGTTACAATAAGCTCAACGTTGTCACATTCAATGTGACTCTATCGTACACAATAAGTATTCTAGTTGTCGGAAATAAATAGATCTAAAGTTTAATTCTACAGGGTGTCTTCAAAATAATTGTATATTTCTTACATTGTACATTTTTTTGCTACTTTTGATTGGATTTTTCCGTATTCCATAATAAAAATGTCTATCAATTTATTGCCCTTGTGTTTTAAGCAATTTAAAATAAGAAACTCCAACGTAGAAGAAATAATATAAAGAACAAATAAATAATAATGTCACATTTATTGATCAAAATTTTAAGTTTTAATTTTAATGTCAGTTTCAACCTTTGAGTTGAAGAAAATTGTGTTTGCAATTTTTGTTTTTTATTTACACAATTTGCATATTATAATATGCATGTTACAAAAAATGTAAGTTATAATTTTGTAAAATTATTTTTTACGTTAATAATTAAGGGCAATTATGCATATTAGGTCATACCTCACTGATTCTCTCGCTTTTGCAAAGCTAAACATTTGAATAAAATAAATCTATTTTTTATTACATCTAAAAAAATTTGCGGACGATTACTTAATTTCATTTATCTATCTTTTGATATGTTACTTTTATTATAGATAGCATGGAATATAAGTGAATTGATTTAAGTTAAACTATTGTCTTCAAACATAACAGGATTCATCGTACCATTGTCTTTAATAAACGAAATATATGTATAAGTTCTCAACTATTAGTACATCCATTTTTTGCCAATTTTCGAAGATCTAATAACAACAATTTCTTAGCGAGTACATTGGACTACATACATTAAACAAAATTAGCGATTTTATTCTTGTCCCGATAATGTGATAAAGTAAATTTATTTTTATTAACATTTTTTATTTAAAAATCAGTTTTGAAGATTTCAGTTCTTGTCGATTACGATTGTATCTTCGCGGAAAGTGTGTAACATGCTATACATATGTATGTGCACACAATTGCGCATGCGTCTCCGAAATCGAGTGTTCGACTAGCGACTAATTCAGTCTACTTCACCAAAAATGACGTCTGACGAGTGAAAGTTTAACCTCTCTTCTTTTATATATTTACATTGCATTTACTGCAATAAGATTTCTCATAAAGGCAATCATGGTAAGGAAAATGCAATAATCTTTCTTATTATATCCGTGACAAAATTGGTACATGGTGGCATGCTTGAAAAAATTTGCGTCTTGACACTTTATCGTTACAGGATATCCTCCGAACTCGTATATAAAACTCGTGATAATTTGCAAAAGATGTAAAATATGTGTGTAAAATTTCCAGGACGACGACGCGGCTGCTTTGCAGAACCTGGAACAGCTCATGACCGAATTTTTTTCCCCGGAGACAACCAACGAACGAAAACGCACGATTGAACGTATTTTCCAAGAATTTTCTGCGCAAATTGACTCCTGGAAGCCGTGTTTGCATTTCCTATCCTCCACAAGCAATCATTATGTCAGTATGTTTGCTCTGTCCACCTTGGAGGTAATTTCTTCTATTAATTTCTACGTAATGATATAATGCTTTTTAATCATCTTTAATTTGAATTATTTGACAGACAACTATTGGAAGACGTTGGCCGATTCTCCCATGGGAAGACAGAGCTCTTACAAGATCTACCTTGTACACATTATCATTGGAAAGAGATGTAGCACCTTTTGTGAGAAATAAGATAGTGAAATTAGTAGTAGATATAGCAAGACATGATTGGCCGCATTTCTATCCAGATTTTTACTCCAATATTTTACAGGTTTGCAAACAGAAAAATTTTTTATACATATTATGTATCGCATTTGCATTAAAAATATATATTTGACTATTCTAATTTCTGTTTAATAGCTATTAGGTCACAAACACACAAGACTACTGGGACTTGTATACTTGAGAACAGCTTCTGAGGAACTAGCCACGCCGAGAGAAGATCTGCCATTGCATAGAAAGAGCGAGTTGTTCAGATTATTAAGCGCACAAGTGCCTCTAACTTTGGATACACTTACAGGTATCCTAATGAATATTATTTGAATGAAGAGTGCGTTACAAATATACAATGAACTGCAAATAGTGTTATAAATTTTCTTTTGGTCTTCAGTTCTTCTGAAAGAAACTACAAAATTGCAAAGTCGTTCCGGGACTGTGACACCACCTCCCTCACCTACCAGTGGACAAAGTCTTGCCCCTGCACGTACAGTACTGGACGTTGAGGGATTAGCGACAGGCACCAGTGAAGTTTGTATAGCTACTTTGGAAGTTCTAGCACACCTATTCAGCTGGATAGATCTATCTGGCAGCATCTCCAGCAATTTATTGGATGCTATTTTTTCATGTGCCAAATATCAAGATGCAATGGTGAGATTTTACTTCAGTTGCAAAATATATAATAGCGGAAAGCAAAATGATACATTTATCAACGTTTCCACAGAATGGCAAGCAAATAGAAATGGCTGTTCAAGCTTTGACTACAATCAACGAGCTTTTATATAGACCACTCTGCTCACCCGAAGCCACTGATACACTTTTACTGGAAATATTTCAGAATGGCGTTAGTTTGTTCCAATTGATGGAACGTTTAGATTCGATAGAGGAAAGGTATGTGTAAAAAACGTTTATAAAGAGTTGACGTAGCGTATGACATATTGTCTGACATGTGAAATATATGCTTTCAGTTATATGGAAAAGATGACAGAGTTTTTACAATTGTTTATAACTAATCATCTGAAAAGGATGGAGTCAAGCTCGAAATTTCCAGTAAATACGTTGTTAGAAGTACTGTGCCATCACACATTCCAGCAAGCTTCTACGGTGAACGGTTATTTGCGCTGTTTAGACGTGTGGACCACTCTTTTGGAGAGCACTCAGTCGCGATATTCCGCCGTTGCATTAGCCCTCGCCGAACGAATTTTGCAGAAAATAAGCTTTAAACTCAACGCTCGAGTATTAAGAGATCTCGACACGGAAAGTTTGGACGAGAATGTGAGTACTGCTGGAAAATGTAACTTGAATAAATAATTATGCCAAATATGTTATGTCAAATATTACGATTTTTTCAGGAGGAAACAGAATGGCAACATTTTTTGAGGTGCAATGTAGAATGTTTAGCGAAAATCGCCGACATTTCTCCCATTCCAATATTTACGCTATTGGTAATTTTTAATTGACATACCTGTGCCTTGTCTATTATAATGAAAATGTCGATAATATATTCGATAAATTTTTAGTATCGTTCGTGGAGAGAAGGATTAATTATTTTCGGAGAATTGGGCGCTGCCGTTGCCAATGGTCAAGTTATTTTACTGAACGATACGGAGGCATCTAATGTACATGCACATCTAAGGGATCTCGCGTCGACCACGCAAGCTTTAACCAGACTATATTCCCTTTTCATTGGTAAGTCACCGAGCAATTTTATCAGTTTTTGATTTCGCAGATGATAAAATGATTTGCGTTAACAGGAGATCAAACAAACATCGATCAAGCCTTAGCCGGGGAAGTGGTGTCGCAAACCCTGGATGCATGTATCTTCGCGAGAGATAATCAGCTATACAAAGCATCACTCCAGCCAGCCGCCATCGTGTTGGATCTCATAGAAGTGTAAGTTCCCAGCCGTCTCGTGTAGATTATTCTATATGCGAGTGAAAGCGACCGATATTACACAATGGCAACACGTGGATACTCGTTATGTATTTATTTGCGCTATTAGACATTCACAGCTTTTGGCTTCTCTTCAAGCGTGGTGTCACTGGATAACCAGAAGACCGGAGAAAGCTAAGGAAACGCTCTGTCAGCGTTGCATCGATTCGTGCATTTGGGCAACAACGTACACTGTGTCCTGCGATCAACCGCCCCCTTCGAATCTCATCCATTCCGCCGTTCACCTTTTTCAAAGTATCACCGCGATATTGAAGCCCATTCTGTGGGACCAACCGACTTTCCGGAATTTAATTTCTATGGGCACGTACTCGTACTTGAAGCCAGATACGATTAAAGTTCTACGAAGAGCGTTGATAAACGGTATCATATTGCCACCCGGTGATGCAGCGGCGAGGCAAAGATTGTTAGGTGAGCCATCTCGTTGTAAAGTCTGTGTGAAATTTTTTCAACGAACAAAAAGACAAAGAATCAAAAGTAAATGTTTTATCTAGGTACCATGGTGTTATCGCTGTCCGCACCTCTGGGCGTACAAGGACAACCAGTGCCTTCAGAATCAATAATTTCGATCGCGATGATGCCACTGATTCAACTACTGGAAGATTGCGCGTCGTCGTCTACGACCATAAAGAAGATGTTGCATTCGTGTCTCGAATCAATCATAAATAGGACATTGGAGTTACTGTCTTGTGTGATACGGTGTCAGAGCATATGTGAAGCGCTACTTAGCTTTCTACACTCGGCGTTTTCAGTATTACAGCAGCAATTGGGACCCGAGTTTACGCAGAATGCGGTTCAAGGCATGCTGCAACTGTACACAAGGTTTGTACACTCTTAGCAGAAACGTTGAATTTTCAAGATGTCAAATTCTTATTTAAGTGACGTCGAAAAGTGCCAAAATGTTTTCAAATCAAAATTCTTGATCGCTTTTCCATCGGCGGCGATTCGAAAAATATTTCTGTGTAAGCGATATCATTACGATGTCGTAATACTGCAACAATTTTATTAATGTGAAAGTTAAAATATTACGGTTCCAATTGTTTCGTTCACAGGGAAAATATTTCCGCTGGTCCGGCATTGGATCAATTGTTGGAAATCTTAATACTCGTCGTATCAGCGCCCAGCAACGCATTTAAGGCGTTTGTCCCTTCAGTAACGAGTCTGTGTTTGGGCCAAGTGTGGCCCGCTGTCGGAGGCAACCTAAGCGCTCACCCGGATACTACATTAGTTTTATTGAAGCTCTTCCACAGGTAATATACCGATAGTATGTCCTATTTACATGCAGAAGTCACATGAAATTACTTTTCAGTATTCTTATGCATCGATGGCAGTATTTCTATAACACTTCGGTGCTGCGGACCCTCGGACATCCCGATGAGGACGAACCTGTCGAACATAAGGAGGAATTAGTTGCAATTTTGGAGGCTTTCGGTCAAGCGCTCCTTCAATCAGACGTGAATATATTCCGGCAGAGTTTGCAGAGCCTCGAGCAATTGAATATCAGATGGCGACTTTATCAACGAATCGTCTTCAAGGTTCATCTTCTCGAGAGATTTCTGATGGCGTTGTTTACAGTGTTGTTTCAACAGTGGGTATCGCAACAGTGTTGCCGTTTATCAATAATGTGCTTATGACAACAACATGACAACAACATGTTCATTTGCTCACGTTAATTTGTAGATCTCACAATTTGTTGGCGGACGAAATAGCCGCGGCTATTCACAGTCTAGCGTCTGTCAACATAGGATGGTTCTTCGGCCATTTTTTGCCAACGTTTTTAGCAACCTGCGAAGGCGTCGACGATATGCAGAGAGCCACCTTGCTGGGAAACTTCGACAAATCCACGGTGTGTTGGGTCTTCCTGTTAAATGTAAAAGTGTGAATGTTGACGAAGCGGAAAATCATTTGTAATGAATCGTTTCAGGATCAACCGACTCTGACGAGGTCAGTACTTCAGCTTATTTCAGATCTAAGATGTTATCAGCTGTGCAGACCGGGCTGAAGCGCGGGTCGAGAGGGAACTGACATTGAAATTATTCCATGAGACTTTTGAAGTGGCATTTAAATCAACATTTCCACCGAATCTCTCCTGCGAGTGCCTCTAAATACAGATACGAGGAAGATAGAACGAAAAACAAAAAAAGACAAACCTTTTGTAAACATTTACCATTCTGTGTATACCACTGCCGCACCACTCTTTTGTGATGTAAATGCTATTACTACGAATAAAACGCGTCTTTTTACATGTCTATAGTCGCCTATATTCTTACAGACTCTTTATGTTTAATCTTTCAAAATTTTTGCAGATGTATGCAGTTCTAATGTACTGATAAAAATTCCGGCCAAAGAACATCATCGTTTGCAGAGATTAGAGCAAAATTAATAACCAGCCCGCTATCGCTTGCATATCGGATATTTAGTTGTTGACTTCGGACGTACTTTTAAGATATCTTCGTGTTATTATCACCTCTCCCTCTCTCTTGCTGCTGCTGATAAACAGTACTGTACAGATAACTCATTTATTTGTAACGCGCTCTCAGCAGTTTGATAAGGTCGATGAGAGACGACGGACAATGTCACGTTTGTTACTAAGAAACAGCCGTTGTTACGTTCCCCGATTCCAGATGACGAGGTACTTAGTGAACGACGCGAGATATGGCTTCCTCAAGCAATTAGGTATCACCGCCGAGAATCCCGGACTCTACGACGGACGATGGGGTGGATCTGGCAAGGTACGCGATATTGATCTCTTATCGATACTGATAATAAGCCGGTGCATCACGGAAAAGGATATATTATACGATACAGCAAAACACACCGCTCGAAACAACTGCAATTGACAATTAAAAACAGTTGATAGAATCGGTGTCACCAGCGACCGGCAAGGTGATAGCGACGATCCGCGAGTCCACGCCGCAGGAGGCCAGCAATACTATAACAGAAGCACGCAAAGCCTGGCCGCAATGGGCTTCTATCCCGGTGCCGGCGAGAGGAGATATCGTGCGGCAGATAGGCGATGAGCTCAGAAGAAACTTGAAGCCGCTGGGACATTTAGTATCTTTGGAAATGGGTAACTCATTCTCTCGTTTCAACGCGCGTTAAGATTTTGCTAGCAAAATTCTTGCGCTCAATTCGGAGAATATTTCTAAACATAAATTAATAAAAAAATATATCGTAGGAAAAATATTGCCGGAGGGCATAGGCGAGGTTCAGGAATTCATCGACATATGCGATTACGCGGTGGGATTGTCGCGAACGTTGCCGGGAAGGCTGTTGCCGTCGGAGAGAAAAAACCACGTGCTCCTGGAAAACTGGAATCCCCTGGGCGTAGTCGGCGTCATTTCCGCCTTTAACTTTCCCATAGCGGTAAGCGCAACTTTCGAAGTCGCGTCTTTCCCTTCAGATTTCGCTGATTTCTCACATTTCCAGGTCTACGGCTGGAACAGCGCTATCGCCATGGTCTGCGGCAACACCATCGTCTGGAAAGGGGCGCTGAGCACACCATTAGTGGCCGTCGCAACCACCAAGATAATCGCGAGTGTCCTGGAGCGCAACGGTATCCCGGGCTCCGTCGCGTCCCTCATCACCGGCGGGCCGGAAGTCGGTGAGACTCTGGTGAACGACAAACGGTCGGTTGAAAGATCAATTGCGTTTATTTTATATCGCACATTACATACTGAACAGATTGATAACGTTGTCATTAGGGTACCTCTGATTTCGTTCACCGGAAGCACGAACGTGGGAAGACAAGTGGCTCTCAAGGTTCAGCAAAGATTTGGAAAGTCTCTGCTGGAGCTTGGCGGTAACAACGCGCTGATAAGTACGCATCTCCTTAAAAGTAGTAAATTTTCTGCCTACGCGTATACACAGCTCATGTGCTTGTTTCTTTCTTCGCACAGTCGCACAGGACGCCGATTTAGAAATGGCGGTGAGAGCAGCGGTCTTCTCGTGCGTCGGAACAGCCGGACAAAGATGCACCTCAACTAGAAGATTAATATTGCACAAAAAAATAAAGGATGAGTTTTTAGGAAAATTGAAAACGGCGTATAAGAGTGTATTGGAACGAGTCGGAGATCCGCTGGACGACGGTGTGCTCTACGGACCGTTGCACAATCAACCAGCGGTTGACGCTTATAAGGCACGTCCACGAATTTTAACTGCAACATTGCCTTCAAACGAAATATTAGATTCATTAAACGTTTGCTTTCTTTTTTTTTTATTGAAGTCCTGTAAGAAAAACAAACAAATTATAATCAAGTACTTTTCATTGCAGGCAGCAATTAAAAAAGCTGTGGAAGCCGGTGGCACGATAGAGTTCGGCGGAAAACAGATAGAGCGAGCGGGTTTCTACGTCGAGCCGACGATCATTTCGGGTTTGCCGGTTGAAGCCGAAGTGGTGCAGCAGGAGACTTTCGCTCCGATCGTTTACATTCTGGAGGCGAACTCTCTCGAAGAAGCTATCGATCTTAACAACGGCGTGGAACAAGGATTGAGCAGTAGTCTCTTTACTAAAAGTATCGGAAATATATTTCAGGTGAATATATGTACAACTAACGAGATTTATGTGTTTACATGGTATGTACGTGAAACGAACTTGTTGAATTCCGTTTGTTATACGCAGTGGATCGGCCCTCACGGATCAGATTGCGGAATAGTCAACGTCAACATCGGCACTAGCGGCGCCGAGATAGGCGGTGCGTTTGGCGGTGAAAAGGCCACTGGCGGGGGCCGCGAAAGCGGAAGCGATGCGTGGAAACATTACATGCGACGTGCGACGATCACGATCAATCACGGAAACGAGCTTCCTCTTGCTCAGGGAATCAAGTTCGAATAAATCAGACGGGCGTGTTTTCGGACAAAAAAAAATCAGCGCTTTAATTCGAATCTTATAAAATCCACCCGAATGTCGACGGAAGTTTTCTTGTGGAATTTGTAAGCTCTTGGTAGATCGTATCTGAGCTCCGCTATCACCGTTCCCTTCGCGCCGAGCTGCGCCGCCTTCGAAAGAACGTAATCTCGCGTACTGCTCTTGTGCAGCGAGTAAACCGCATTGGACGAGAGTTTAATCGCCACCTCCAGAAATTTCATGTCGACACCGGCGTTGTTCTTCGTGCCGAAAGGTGGATTCATCACAACAGTATCAAAGTGTTTCTCAAATTTTCCTGTAACACAGTATATTGTATACATTTATATTTTTATTAGAATACAATGAGAAATGTGTATACGTACCTGGTAAATATTGCAGCACATCACATTGCACAACTTCAACGAAGAGTTCCAAGTCATTGCAATTTTCATACTGTATATCGATCGCGTCCGAATCTATCTCAAATCCAACCACATACTCAGCACCGAGCATTTTGGCACCTAATGACAATACACCGCATCCAGAACCTAAATCCGCTACGCTTTTACCTTCTACATCACTAAACTGTGACTGTGCGGTGTACAACATATGCGAGGCAATATGCGCGCTGGTGGCATATTGCTCTAGTGAGACTTTTGGTCTCTCAAATACATCCAGTTGTTGCAGGTATTCTTCCAATTGGCGAAGTCGAAGACTAGCCATTGTCTTTACTTACACTTGACTACTATTAATCTCTCCACAGAATCTTGCCCAACAAATATTTATAAAAACGGTCTAATTCTGATCAAAGAAGAGTCGTTAATGTATTTACATAGTCTTCAGTAACATTTAATTATTCAATTATTGAATATCTTCAAAAATAACAACTCATTTACTGTCGAATCTTGGGAGAACTGGTAATATCAGGTTTCCAAAGGAAGAATCTTGTGTTACAAAGTAACCGAATGAAGCTGCGTGTGCATTATGCAAAGCTGCTCTTTGCGATGCGCTGATTGTCACACCATCATTAGATTGCGTTGTAGGCTATTAAGGAAAGAATATATATATATCAGTAAAATAAAGTAATGAAATGCTTTTAATTAAACATTTAATAATGACAAAATTCACTTACTATACTTGATGCAGAACCAGTCGATAAGACACCTAATGATGAATTTAAGGTTGGTGCAACACCTTGCTTTAACAACATTTGCTTTTTCACCTGTAGCTCTTCCAAGATTTTCTTATGTTGTAATTCTGTATGTAAAAAATTTAATGTCTTAAGCGGCATAAAAGAATTGCTCCTATATTTGTAACCGAGATTACCTCTCGAGTTTGATTGTGAAAAAGCCATCAAATTACATAAGTAATTCAATTCTTGATCAATATCGAATGAATAATATAACAGTATGCGTTGTTCATTAAATTTTAACCTTCTTGATGACACTTGAGGAGTATATTGGAGTATATTGGGGTATATACTTAAATGTTCATTAAATTATACAAACAGTGAACGACCCTAAAGCTCCATTCAGGCAAACTCGCGTAACTTCATAACGCATACATAGAAACTTAGCTGCACTATTTCTGCAAAATTATCAAAAATAAGTCACTAAATTTTCAACCAATCAAGAAAATAGAAAGTTTAAATGGACAGTGTTAGTTTTATAATATCCCGTCAGAGGGTATGGGCAGTTTCACTCGGCGAGTTTTAGCGCGAGTGTCGGTGCCGGAAACGCGCAGACGCCACCTCGCGGGGGCCAGTCCGATCGCAGAAGTGATTCCGAGGAGTTCGCTGATAGTCGCGGTCGTCCGGTTTTCACGCGATAATTTTGTCATCGCACAGGCCCGTCCTCGTCATCGCTGCTCCGTGAAACAGACGTAAGTATTAATGTGAAGCGAAAGCGAATATCCCGGGGAAATCGCGCGACTTTGGCAGTCTCGTTAGCGAACAGCGGGGTGGCCCGCACAAGACGGGTGACGGGTTCCAGCAAAATGGCCGTGCGCGATCTACAACAAACGGTTGTCCCGCATGTCGCGCGGCGCGCGTTCGGTCGATCGTCTCGCGTCGTTCGCGCTGTCGTCCGCGCGTGACGTTGAAGCTGACGTCTCGCGAACGTCCGCGACGTCCAGCTTCGAACGTCGTCGGCGTCGTCCTCGTCAATATCGCCGCTGTCGCCGTCGTCTTCGTCGCCGATGTCTCTCGCAAGCGGGTGCTTTCGGTCGCGCGCGAGAATCCCGGGCTCCCTCGTCGAGCGTATACGCGCGTCGCACGTCATCCGAACGCGAATTGATTTTTCCGTGACGGACCGCCGCCGTCACCGCCACGGTGCGGCGGCACGCGCCCTCGTCACCGTCCGCAACCACCGGCCGTATGTCGCACCCGTGAGAGACCTCCCCGAGACAGATCTCGCAAATAGACACGCAGCATCCTTATCTTATCCATTCTCGCGTTTTCAGCATTTATTCGCGCACGAACGTACGTCGTGGACATTCGATACGCGAGCTCTTTTGACAGACGGCTCTGATAATGCGCTCCGATCAGCTGTCACCGCTTTCTCTCTTTCTACCTGTCGATCGAGGACGAGCGCGGAGCGAGCCCGAGACCTCGAGCACCACGATCGATCGTCCGATGTTCCCTTTGTATCGTCGCGTCCGATATCGAATCGAGTTTTACCTCCCCCTCCCCCCCTCCCTGGGGGATGCTGCGGGGGTTCTCTTCCGGTCTGCGGCATCGCGTGACGTTAAGTATTTCCTTAATGTGTATATCGGTTTCTTCCGAGCATGTCTGCACGACCTTGAGGAGGCCGCCGTTAAACGTAATCGCAGTTCCGACTTCGCAAGGATGGTCGATGCCTTCGACACCGGTCAATGCTTTTTCGTATCTCGATTCACCGTGTGTTTATCATTTCCTTTATCCGGTCATGGAGCGTTACAGCGTTCTCGACTGAGATTCCAAGTCTAACTTTTACAAATTTCTACTTGACTGAAAATGTGTTCGGATCGAAAGCAGGATTTTGTTACAAAAGAAAAATATAGATGTTATTTTGGTTTATAATTTACAATCTAGAATCTGAACCCGATCCGAACATATTTTCAATTGAATAGAATGGAATAGAAGTTTATATATAAATTGTATTCAAACCGCTGCGGATTGATTTAATCCCTTTTGTGAAAAATTAATTACATGATATATATATATATAAATTACGCGTAAAGTAATCCGTCCCGATCAATCGTCTAGACGTCATCAATGCGTATAAAACCAATGATAAATTATCCACAGTAGAAAAATTCACGAGACTCATTATCTACCAATTTGAATATAAATCTGCAACCCCGCGGATAAAGAATACGATTGTCCGAAGTGCGATTTCTTGGCTCTCACTTCCGCGTTAGCTTTGTCTCGCTCGCATCGTGGCTCGCAAACTGCGCCAAAAAGTCAGTCTTGCCTAATCGCGCAGCGCGATGACGATTGCAGCGTTGTATTCCGCGTTGTAATCCCGAGATGTATGGAGCGCACAATAGAATATACGGCGACCGCAATGAAATCGCGATGACTCGCGGATAAGATTCGCGGATCGAGATAGTGTCAAATTTCACAGTCGCGTTAATTAGCTTCGAATCTCGCTCGTCGCATCGCGACGCTCTCGCGTTGATACGTCGAATCGCGGGAACATGAAAGCGCGATCTTTCACACTCGTCATCTTATCTCAACTATCAACCGATTGGGTATTTTTGCTCAAACTCAAAGCATCTAAAGCAAACCGTGCGATGTTAACAATGAATTATTACGTGCTGACAGACCTAAGTTTTCTAAGTTTTAGATCGCGGAGGTGAACTGTCGAAGGGAGAAGAGATTCAAGGGCGATCACGCGTGTCGATAGCGATTCTAACCGGTCTAGGATTTTACCGGCGGATAGTCGTGCCCGATCATCGCCGTGCCGGCAGATTAGTCGAGGAAAAGCGCGGTCGCGCGGGCAGGTAGAAGCGCGCGGGGTCAAGCGAGTCGGCAGTCACTCACCTGGACCGGTGATCCCGGAAACGTAGCTACATTATAGAGCGCGCACCTGCGATCGAGAGAGATCGATCGTGTGCAGAGAGCCCGTCGGCTGATAAGTACTTACGGCCGCGCATCGCAAATTAGCCACGGGAGATCTCGGAGTGCGCGCGAGTATCTGCATAAAAGCGCAAAAAAAAATCTGAAATAATATGCAACGTGTAGAAAATTGGCCATTGTACTCACGGCACAAAGAGCGAATAATTCGTTGAATTAGGCGAGTGATTGTCCGATAAATTTATCAAATTATTGATTCACACAGAACACGCTTATATATAAACCCGCAATATGGTCGACGCAAGACCTTTCCCGGCGCGGGTAAATAACATCTTTGGATCTCTTATTTTTAACACAGCTCTGATCGTTTGGGGTTGAATAGACAGAGTTCTGAGAGAGGAATTCCTCTCGTGCGCGTTTTCAGCAAGGACACCGTAAATTATGCATTTCCCGTTCGCGCGAATGTACCCGCAAACGCGGTACTTTCAACTTTCCACACCGTCGCGGCCGTTCACGCGCACACGATCCGAGTTTTTTTCCAATAAAGTATCGTGCTTCTCGATGACCAGCAGTCGCTGCATCTCATTCACATTCCCAACGCGCCGCTGGCTACAGGTACACACTTGTTTATGTTATTGGATTCTTTTTTTTTTATTATTTTTTTATTGTGCGTGCTGATAGGTCAACGCATTTCCCGGTCATCCGCGATGGTGCCTCGCGCGAAAATCCCAATCACGTATGCCGTGCTTTTTCACGCCACCGCGTCACAAGGTGGAAAGAGGCCGATATGAATATTTAAATGCACCGCAAGGCGAAAATATAACACGACTACCGGGGTGGGCGTGCTGGCTGTGCCGGTTTATCGATTACGGCGCATCGCGGCGATAACCATCGCCGTGGAAGCGTCGCGACGACGCTGCGCCGACGCTGCACTCCCGCGCGCCTTTACAATTGTCAAGGTCCTTCCTACTAATTGTTTTTGTATCTGGAACGCGATTCTGACTTATGATAACATGAAGTTTATTCATATTTCGTAAAAAATTTATTAGTGTTCTAAACAAATTTTAATTTTTTATTAATTATCGATGTAAAAATATTATTAGTCGTGTTGTTTGATACGCATATGTTTTATACGAGTTAATCGTATAAAGTTAACCGTTTTTATTATTTCCGTTACTTATAAATGGACAAAAGTTTTGTTATCTTGAATAATTTCACAGAACTCGCGTTGACTGTAGCACGTACTTGAGATATGATTTTAGCTACAGGTTTCTTTCTATATTCGAAAGAGAACAAGTTGCATGATTCTCTACATAGATTTCTGTTTCGTACAAAATTTTACATGAAGCTTTTCTCATGTTTGATAAGAAAATGATGGTACAATATAATTTAACGCGGACGTAACGTCGGGTTTGGACTTATTGATATTTCCGTTTCCAGATAAAGCGATTGCATGCTCAATAACCGTGCATTACCGCCGCGTCATCGTCGTGATTTCGAGCTTCACTTTTCAAGCCGCCTTTCCCTTTCGTGCACCCTTCGTGCGACGCGATGGAAAAGTGCTATCGATCCGGCGAAATCGCGCCTAAGCTCGCCACAGAAACGGCCGCTTTCGTGCGAGCGACGAAAGCTCGCAAAGTAGCATCGAGCGGGGGACGCGGTGATTCCGCGAGCGCGCGACCTGCATCGGGTTTCTCCCGCGACGATGGAAAGTAAAATAAACCACGACATTGATTTCAGGTGTATTGTGTGCGCGCGCGTTTGATTATCCCGCGGTAACAATTCGGCACGCTCGACTCTCACGAGTCCGCTTGGTTTTCTTTCTTGCGATAGAAAAATACTTGTTCACAACGTGAGCGATGTATCGCCATGAGTTTTAGAAAACGCGCAAAAATAAGGTACACGAGAAAGCATTTGCTGAACGCGCTGCATGTTTTTTTATCAGAAATAATTTTATGCGCAGAAGAGAAACACTGTTGCAAGGTATTTTTATCAAACATATTGCTTCATTCGATACCAATCGATCGGTTAAAGTAATTTTGTTTTTTGTGCAAAAGTGTTCTAGAAAAGATGCAAATATTTTTCTCTCATAATTGATTTAATATTATACTATAAAATTTACATAAAAATTTTCAAGTTACTGTTATGTATATTTATTTTGTGGATCTAACTAACGTTGTAATATTTTTATTGTAGGCAATGCTGACGGCGGAGCATTGAGAGATCTTTGAGAGGTGACTGGAAGCTCTAGTCGCGCTCCACGGAATCACCATCGAGGTATCGAGTCAAAGTCACACACGAGGATCATGAAAATGGTGCTGTCTCAACGTCAGAGGGAGGAGTTGTAAGTTGATACATAATTCTTCTTCAGTCCTTGATTCGCGCTGTCCTGATTTACACGCTGTTCCGATCTCCTTGTTTGCGCATTTGAACAGACGCTGGCTTTTCCCATTCTCTTCGGAAAGTGTATGTGTCTCTTTCTCTCCATTCTAGTTCCAGGGGGGTGGTGCACGCGTTCGCGTGCAGTCCGGGAACGGATCAATGAAGGAAATACGCAAGGTTTCTCTCGTATCTTGCACCGCCCACGCTAAAGTCTTTCCACAATTGCCATTAAAAAAATATCTCTCCTTTATTTTCTATACAAAGTGGAATGTCGGGAAAAAATTGGAAAAATGTTTTTCCACATTTTATTTTGAACAGTATTTATTTTTCACTCTTGATACATTTCTCCCAATATTTTGATGCGTATAATTGTCGAAGTATTCGATTTAAGTTTATCAAAATTATTTTCTGCTACTTGCAATCATCGAAATCATTTCGCTGCTCTTCGAATTTCTCCGAGCTTTCGTTCAGAAGCAACGCATTCCGGGAATATTATTGCAGTGCAGTAATCTTTTGCGGGCCACCTTGGCATCGTTAGCCGGCATTGAGGCTTAATGCGCCAGCTATGTAATTAGTTCATCGTATTTTGCATAATCGTAGGCGCATAAAGGTGTGGATATTGCATGGGAGACGCTTGAATTTTCCCATGCCGTCAGTCTTCGATTTCGCACGGAGGAGCTGGAGGCCCCGACGTAGATGAGTCATTCAACGCAAGCAAATAACGATCTACAACGAGTGGAGAGCTCTTCAGCTCTCGTACGCTCGCCCGCTCTGTGCTTCCTGCTCGAGTACCGTGTTTCTCGCGAGGGAATCGAACGCCAATCATCGTCATTATCTCGCCGTGTCCCGATTCGCGCTTATCTTTCGACGGAACGCGCGTTTTTGCGACACCGGCCATTTCTCTTCTTGTCCTCGATGTCCCGCGGAATATTAAGGCAAATCTAGTCTCGCTTTCCTGCCGGCGAGATCCAACATCGAACGGCATATGTTTGAAATATATTCATTTTAATGCTGTCAAACGTTAAAAGCGCATTTTCGAATGTTCGGGTGTATTTTTTTCTCAAAGAGAAACTGCAAGTTGCGCACGCTGGAATTTCTCGAATCTCGCAATTTCGCTCTTCTTCTTTTCCTCCGATTGAAATGTCGGAAATTCCCGCAGATCGAACGAACGTTCGAATTGTGCTGTTGGATTATTGAGGCGACCGTTTATATTTAATTCACCGTCTCTTTGTTTCGCCCTCGAGCGAACGGGCGTCCCGTTCGTTGCGACGCGTCGAACGGGGACAGCATCGATTGTATCCTCGATCTATGCCGGCTAATTCCTATGACGCAAAATCGCTCGTCGATCGCTCCTGGGCGGGGAAGAGACGTCGGGGGCGGCGTTCGGTGGTGAGGGTGTCTGTCGGGCACGCGCGAACCGCGGGATCGATAGCTCGCGCGGACTGACTCGACGGCGGAGGCGGCGAACCCACGGAGCGAAGGGGATGAGAGCCTGCTCGCCGCCTAAGAGGGAGAGGGCTCTCATCGATCAGCACAGGTGTCCCGTCGCATCCATGTTGTTTTTCCTCCTCACGTAAGAACGCCGCCCTTTAAGGGCTGCGCGCACGTGTAAATTCTCAGTCAAGTGGACGGCGAAACGACACTCTACGCGTATGACTTCCGGGCTTTCTGTAAACCGATATGGGGGAGACAAACGGAAGGGCGATTAGCATTTTTAATGGGGAAACTCCACTCCAAGTTGCCTGTGGCTTTTTTTTTTTTTTTTTTTTTTTTTTTTTTTTTACCTTCGAGTCGATGCAGTATAAACTAACTTTTAACTGACCGACCCTCGCGGAGTTTCTGAAATATTTCAGTTTTTTTTTTTTTCAAAATTATTTTCTTTTCTGTTTTAGATCAATTGTAAGAATGAATAATTTGCACGCGACACTCTAATAAGCGAAGTAATCAACATCGAGATTGTTAGAAGACATTTGTTGAATTGACAAGAGCTAAAATAGGAATAATGAATAATTTATTATTTGTTATACATTTGCATAATCCGGAATTTTGAGATTAGACTTAATTATGTAACACGAGGTTTGCAGTTGCAGGCGAGGGAGTCCACGTAGACGCTTATTTGCAAAGGTTAAGTGCGATAGATACGGCGAGGTGGTTTCGCGCTGACGACAGCGTGCGTTTTATTACGCGAGGAGCCAGACGAGATGAATTATCTCTCGCCTCCCGCATTTCCTGCCTTCTCCCGGTATCCATTTTCACGCAGTTCACCTTTAGACCGAGGATATCGCCCTGAGATCTCTCTGGTCCGCATTCTTCGACAACTCGGAACATAATATGTCACGCATAATTCATCGCTCGCCGTGCGGCGAAGAAGAGGAAAAGAAAAGAACTTCACGACTGAAGTTCTATTATACCGTTACACTCGCTGCTTCTCCTCTCCAATTGTACGCGAGAGAGCGTCTCTCGAAACACCGTGTCGTATCGTCGGTAGCGATCTCTCTCCCTCCTCTCCCCCCCGCTCGGCTCCGTCAAGCCATCCCTAATTTATGTAACGAAGAAAGAAGAAGGTGATCGGAGAACGACGGAGAGTTCACCCGATCGCCGCAGGTGTTGCTTGCACTTGTGATGCTCGTGTTTCGCGGAGCATCGACCACGAGCCGCGGACACGTGCTGTCCGCATCTAATACCGAAAACGTTTCGTTCGACATCAGCGCGACTGAACGTGCACATCTCAGGCGCATCATCTGCGCGAGACGGAATATTCATCACGTCCTAGAATTCTCGAGCGACGCAAAATGCATTCTCATTCCTCGCAGGAATGTCCGCCGCGAGTGGACGAACGCTCAGGGACGCTCGCGTATTCTCGAATGAGACTTCGTGGAGAAAAATACCGCGCGCGGGGTCGAGCGCTTCCGCGTTCGGTAATAATATTATTTGCAAATCGGCAGAGCAAATAATCCCAAGTCCGCGGCGAGGAGGTGACGGCTCGGAGCGAAGCCGAGGCCTCCTCCCGCTCGCCGGCGGTATCGATCATCGCATCGCCGATGAGTTTCTCGAATGCCATAACTTTCGCATGGTCGCGCGAGGCGAAACCCCCTCGGGCGAGAGAGTCGACGCGGAGCGGCGATGTGCCGTTACGAGGAGCGCATTCGCAGCGCGTCTTTTCCGCTTCGTTCTCAGGAACGCGGCGACATTTCCCGCCGTCGTGTCTCTCCCCCCGTTTTTTTTTTTTTTTTTTCCAGTCCTTGCGTGCCCTCGCCACGCGAACCCCGACGCATTCGTGTGACGACCGGTCGGCGCTCGCGGAGACAATGATCCCTACCCGCCCTACGGACCATTCTTGTTTCGTTTCCATACCTGCGGCGCACGCACACACCTGACCGCGAGGTATTGTGCGTGCGGGATATAAAGTTTCTCACCGCCTGCGTTTCTTACGGGCTCACCTGTGTCATTATATACGCGTTGGTCCCTTCTTAATTTTCCGCGCATTACATGCAATTAGCTCTCCGCGCGGATTACGCTACTGCAGGAACCCCGCATTACGGCGTTTCCAAGTTCATTATATACACCGAGTGCAATTAGCGGCGGATGCGTCTGCTAAGTCGCAAATGGAAGTTTTTTTTTTGTAAATGTTGGAATTTGTACGTCGATGCGTTTTGTAGCACTTAGAGTTATCCGTTCGCCGTTCGTGTTACAGGCAGTTTGTGTTGACTTATTATCGCTCGTGCAAACAAACTGCTAATTTGCTTCGGTATCAACGAACGATAGATAACTGGACTAGAAGGTGGTTCTTTTTACATGAACTTCGATGTTCTTATAAACAGCAATGTCGTGTCGCGTGCAAATTACATTCCTACAAAAATTTCCCTATACATTTATTGAAGCGAAATTTTGCATATATCAATTTACATGTTAATACTTAATTTTACTTCTCTTGCTTCGAGGAGAATTTTGAATCGCGCTGTAGAATCATTATCGTTCCTTTATTTGTTAAAATGAAAAATGTGTACACACGACGTAGGCGGAAGTAAAAGCGGAAGGACTCGGGCACGTGGTTTAGCGTGTGGAACGCTTTCTGCCAAGGCGAAGCGGTTTCATTCTTTCCGCTTTTTTTTTTCGGTTTCAACGAGTCGCTCCTACGCGGCCACATGTCGGCTGGCAAAACAAAGATTACGCGAGGCGAAGACTGCGAGCGATAATTCGCTATCACGTGGAGTAGGCAGGTGAATAGGGACGAACGGCCGCGCCGAGGCCTTTCACCCTGGCACAAGTTTGCCCGACTTTCAATCTCTTTCCCACGTATCCAACCTGTGCCTTACGGCCGCCTCCTCTATTGTATCGGATCGCAGGTACAACATTTTATCTTTATCTCCGCGTCATAAACAGGCGGCCAACGCCAACGCGAAACAATCGGAGATTAAAGCTATCATACTACGCACGCCCCTCCTCGCAATCCCTCGTAGCGGTACCTCGCGAGAAAGCGAACGAATAAGAGAAAAAAAAAACAATAAAGTCTGATGAAGATTATTTCCTGACCTTCCGAATTTTTAATTCCGATTGAATTGATGAAGAAACGCAGAGAGATAAGGAGAAAGAAATTATTTCTCACGATAGCGAATTTATTTTCCAGAAATAAGGCGATCGCGGATTACCTTAGCACTAACGGCTATCAAGATGCACTCGAGGCATTCAAGAAGGAAGCTGATATGCCGGGGGAGGTGGAGAGGAAGTATGGCGGCCTCCTGGAGAAGAAGTGGACCTCGGTCATACGATTGCAGAAGAAGGTAAGGCTCTCTGTCTCTCTCTCTCTCTCTCTCTCTCTCTCTCTCTCTCTCTCTCTCTCTCTCTCTCGCAGAAATATTTTCTCGACTTGATTTTCGCGTGCGGCACCGGGGAAGAATTCCACGGTGCATTACGTTGGCTAAGTGCGCTCGTTGAACACGCTCTGTGAAATGTCGCAGGTAATGGAGCTGGAGTCCAAGCTGTCCGAGGCGGAGAAGGAGTTCATCGAAGGCGCACCGACGCGCGGTAAGCGATCGCCGTCCGAATGGATACCGAGGCCGCCGGAGAAGTTCAGCCTGACCGGACACAGAGCCCCCATCAATAGAGTCGTTTTCCATCCGGTTTTTAGTCTCATAGTGTCCGCCAGCGAAGACGCCACCATTAAGGTGAGCGCGGTTCCCGAGCGACGCTCGGAATTAATTTTTTTTTTTCTTCCTTTTCCCTCACACCTGTTCTTTCTCTCGCAAGGTGTGGGATTTTGAGAGCGGCGACTTCGAAAGGACGCTAAAAGGTCACACCGACAGCGTGCAGGACATCGCGTTCGACGTCTCGGGCAAGCTGCTCGCCTCCTGCAGCGCGGACATGTCCATCAAGCTGTGGGACTTCCACCAGTCGTTCGCCTGCGTGAAGACCATGCACGGTCACGATCACAACGTCAACTCGGTCGCGTTCATGCCGCAGGGCGATTTCGTGGTGAGCGCCTCCAGGGACAAGACCATCAAGATCTGGGAAGTGGCGACGGGCTACTGCGTGAAGACGCTCACGGGGCACAGGGAGTGGGTGAGGATGGCGCGGGTCAGCCCGTGCGGCGAGCTCATCGCCAGCTGCTCGAACGACCAGACCGTTCGCGTGTGGCACGTGGCGACGAAGGAGACGAAGGTAATGCCGGCGATTCCTCTTCGTTCCCAAGACAATTCCGTAATCATTCGTAATCCCGTTTCGGATCGATTCAGGTCGAGTTCAGAGAACACGAACACGTGGTGGAATGCATCGCATGGGCGCCCGAGAGCGCGAGAGCGTCGATCAACGCGGCGGCCGGCGCGGACAACAAGGGCGCGCACGAGGGACCGTTCCTCGCGTCCGGCTCCCGGGACAAAATGATACGCGTGTGGGACGTCGGCGCCGGGGTGTGCCTCTTCACCCTCGTCGGGCACGACAACTGGGTGCGGTGCATCGTCTTCCATCCTGGCGGCAAGTTCATCGTCAGCGCGTCCGACGATAAGACGCTGCGAGTCTGGGACACGCGCAACAAACGAGTGATGAAGACCCTCGAGGCGCACGTTCACTTCTGCACTTCTGTCGGTTCGTATCTTCTTCAGTTGATATTCTTTTTTTTTCAGCTGATAAGATCTTTCTATATCAAATGTAAATCAAGTGATTTTTGCCATGACATTCGACTTGTAAACTGCAGATTTCCACAAGAATCATCCTTACGTGGTCACCGGGAGCGTCGATCAAACGGTGAAGATTTGGGAGTGCCGCTAGTCACCGAAATTTTAGATTTTCCGTCAGACGTCGTGAATGGACGAGAAAATGGGAGTATAAAAAAAAAAAACACGAGAGAAAAGACGAACGCGCGTCCATTTTAATGGAATCGGCCGAAAGAGTAAGCTACTACAAAAGCTATCGTACATATGCTATTAATATTAATATTATTATTATTATTATTATACATAAAGAAAAACACACATAAACACGTATGATTAAGAGCTCTTTAATTAATTTATAATAAAGTATAATTAGTAATTATATTACAATACGATACATCGTTTTACGGCAATGAACTGCACTATTCGAGGAGAGTGAATTCGAGAGACGGTCATGAGACGATCAAACGATCGAGAGGACGCTCCCGCGAGTTCTCATTACCTTACGGACGTGGGGTTATTAATGCCATAATACAAGAGTTATATTCCTTTAGGCAGTTGTGCAATTGTAGTAGGCATTATTGTTCTGTACATATACGTGTCTTTTACGCAGCGCGAAATTCGTTGACGTGAGTGCGGCTCACCTTTGATTTTTTTTTTTTTTCTCTTTACTCCTCTCTTCGCCTGCTTATGCAATGTATCCGAAAGTTATTAGTTACCAGCCGGTCGCACACACATACACAAAGAGAGAAGATCGTCCTCCTCGATTATGACCGTGCGTAAGAACGCGTCGAATCTCTTTTAACTTTCTGCCGAGCGGTGGCGAAAATTTCGGCTGTGTCGTCACCTCCGTGCAATCACGCGACGGTAACTAATTCGTTTGTCATTCACACACGCGCGCGCTCTCCTCGAGAGTTCTTGAAAAAATAAAGAACGAAAGAGATGCTGCTCCTTTACTCATATATATATATATAAATATATATATAAGCATATACACACGTACACATACACATGTATAAACTCGCAGTGTCTTTGTACCGTGCAAAGTACAACATCTGTCTAACATCGGCTCACGCGTATCCCCGATGGGCATTGAATTGTTATCGCATCCGTCACATGATGAAAATTTTTTATGGGACACATAACGTCGCAAAACGATATAAAATAAGATGACGATGATATAAATAAAAAAAAAAAAAAAAAAAAAAATACTACGACAATGCGAAAATTGTCTCAACCGGAAACGTGTATTTTGTTACATGTCTGTTTAGAGATCCGATTCTTGATTTCAGGATGTGTCCCCATTTGACAGTGAATTACATTCAATTACATATATTTATGTAGAATCGAATCTCACAAGAAAACTCGAGAGATGTCGGTCGAAATCGATCGAATGTCATATCTTCGCAGACGCATATAGTGCTTAATACTTATTTATTTTCGAGAGTGAAGCGCAGAGTAGCGGAGAATCCGGAGATCGTTCGACGAGACTTTAGAGAATGCTCAAAACGAGAGAAACGACGATGGAGGGGGAAAAAAGAAAAACGATTCTCGCCACGGCGTCCGATTATCTTGCATTATTAACGATTAAAAAAAATATTACAATAGGCACACAGCCGAATGTAGAGAGAATGCAAGAGAAAATTGAGATTTGTAAGAATTTGGAGTAAAAAGAAAATTGAAGGAAGAAGATGTAACGCATACACGTACGCGGAAGTTTTAGAGCGCAGCATTAGTTCATTGCGTGGGTTCCAAGAGAGGTGGTACTAGTTTGTATTGTTTAGTTATAACTACTATTAGCGGTAGCGCAGACATAATGTAGACGATAGAAGGAAAATACGGGAATAAAACTTCAGAGAGAGAGAGAGAGAGAGAGAGAAGAAACACAAAGTTAAATGGTTAATTGACAAACATATGTACACACGCCATACACACACACACATACGTACACGCAGACACACGTACACGAGTGAAGCGTCCGATTTTCAAGCATACGATAAGGAAGGGAAAATATTCGCACACGTGTATAAGAACGTGCAATCCGCAAATCATTAATCGATAATCGCTTAATTAAGGGTGATTTTTCAAACAGTTACACTTAAATGACTGTCTGCTACCTTTTCCTACTGTTTCTCCTCGCGTATCAAGCCCATGTATAACAAACACAGAGAGCCCTCTCTCTCCCCCCACACCCGCCCTCCCTCCGAGAAGAGATGATACTCCCTCAATTAATGTGGTACTAAATTATTTTGATGAATAATAAACAAAGTTGTCACTGAGTTGTCGTGAGATCGTTGTATGCTACACATCATCACCTATATAATTCATATATACCGTTCTTAGTACAACATAAATTTTTTTTTCTACGTTTGCAGGTCACGTGTTAACCGCATTGTCGTGCGTGAGAAACGCAATTCTCTCTGTTGCGGACGGTCTGTCCGCTAGAGTGTCCTATTAAGTTAAGTTTTTTTTTTTTTTGTGAGCAGTAGATGTGTAAGAATCCCCAAACTCTCTGCAGTATGTTATCAATATCTACATGCATGACTTACGTGCATCTGACAGTATTTTATAGTACAATAGAGCAAGAGTTAGCGATGTAGTGTTGTAAGTAAAACGCATACCAAACACCTATTGTGCGTGTTTATACATAGACGATGTAATAAAAGTTAATAGTGTCGCCTTTCATAAGACTCGTCACCGATCGGCTTCTGTGACTCGCTTTCTATCTGCTTGGGGAAACTGATGATACCAACAAGTAGAACTCACAATAAAGTATTCTTCGTCATTTGTGATATATACACGATTAGCAGATATTTATTGAGACCCTAGAAGCTGCGGCCTCCTTGTAGAAAAGTATATCTTTCACTAACATAGTTTTACAGAGTAAAATAAGTTGCAGTAATAAGTGATAATGATGACTTCTTTATTTTGAGTAATTTTTAAGCAGTTAATAGGCAAGTGCTTAATGAACTTGTGTAAATTAATCATTTTGATGATAAAACTTTGTTATTTAGGAAGAGTTTAGGTACTTTAGGAAAAGTCAAAAAGCAAAGGGCCATTTAACGAATTGAATTCTTTAAAAGAGTCTTTTCTTTTTTACTTTACCTTGTATTGGAAAGGAAATAATCAATAATATGATTTCAATTAGTTGGGCGTAAAATTATTTTTATATAAAATAAATAATATAAAAGCATATGATTTCAAAGAAAACAATTTTCCTAGTCGGTTATTAACTGTCGATAATGAAGATTGCACGATATGTACGGTTGATAATATCAATTGTTCACTTAACAACACGGGACCATGTGGAAGACACAGACGCCATTGTGATGCATTGTCTTGTTGACGCGAAAAAACGTGCCGATGTTTCGCAGCAATCTTCGAAACGTTATATCGAACATATAATTTTTTTTTACAACCTGCCAAAGTGCCTTCGAAGAAGTGTCTTTCGCAATTGTCTCAAACGATTTACTTCGTTTATCCGAGTAGATATGGGTTAGCGATTTGGTTTTTGTGTCCTCGCAATTTTCCGGCAGGCACATTTGGCTAAAGTACTAAAGTTTTCGATTAAGCTTTCGCTCGGCAGTTCTTCTGACAGAATCGAAGCAAGCAGACAATCGGAGAAATGGCCTCGCAACAACGAGTTCCCGATTCTCAGCCCAATACTCAGTCCAATACTCAGCCCAATACTCAGCCCAATACTCAACCCAATACCCAAAACACGGACATTTTAACACCATCGCAAGATGTACCAAGTCAGCAAGAAACATTGGTTGTCTGGGGAAGATTGTGTTCTATGCGAGTATTACTGAAAAATCTTGGTAGGAGTTTGTATATTTCTGCATATAATCAATATTCAATGCATTTGGAATATGTTTTGAGAAATATGTCTGATTATTAAATTGTTTCAGAAATGATAAAAGATTCTTATACTGTGGGACGTGATGAAGGTTGTGATATTTGCTTGACCACAAATGAAATGAAAGAAAAACACCTGAAGACGATCAGTAAGGTGCAGTTTCGCATATACAGAGAACGTGTTAAGGACACGAATGAGACGCTGATATATCTTGAGGATAACAGCTGTAATGGAACTTTTGTTGACAAAGTTAAAGTTGGTCGTGGAAATCGTGTTATCCTTGAAAATAATTCTGAAATAGCTGTAGTCAAGAGTCACCTATTCAGTAATATATTTTATAATGAGATTTATTAAATTGTTAAACATACAGATATAATAGAAATTAATTTTTTTTTTAATTACAGTTTATGTGTTTGTAAACACATTGATGACTGAGATAAACGATTTGCCATCAGAACTGAAAACAAAGTATGCACTTGGTCGCAAACTAGGATCTGGTTCCTGTGGCGAAGTAAGAATGGTATTTACAAAGGATGGTTCTCAAAGATTTGCTATGAAAACAATAAAAAAGAATATTTTTGGTGCTAGTGGAGATTTATTCAATCGTCAAATGAAAAATGAGGTTGAAATATTGAAAAAGTTAAAGCATGTAAGTTAAGTTGGTCTTGTATAATTTATCTTACGTTTTTATAATCTGAATCTTAATAAAAAGGGAGTTTTATTTTAGTCTTGCATCATCAAGATGGAGGATATCCATGACACACCAACAGCGATGTACATCGTTCTTGAACTGATGGAAGGTGGTGAGCTTTTTGACAGAATAAAGAACAAAGGTAAACTGACTGAACCGTGCGCAAAACTGATATTCTACCAAGTTGTACTCGCCGTTTATTATCTTCATAAACATGGCATTACACACCGAGACTTGAAGGTATTGTAAAACATTGCACATTTTATAAGTATACTTTATTTTATTATATAATGAATAATAAATTCACACAGCCAGAGAATATACTATTAAAGAACCATTCTGACAAGACTCTGGTCAAAGTGTCGGATTTTGGTTTGTCAAAATTAGTAGATGCCAGATCTATGACCATGAAAACGTTTTGTGGAACTCCTATGTATGTTGCTCCCGAGATTCTGTCAACCCTTGGACGTAGTCCTTACACGAATCAAGTACGTTTTTTATATTCCAAAGTTTCTAATTTCTAGTTTTTTATATTCTAATTATGCATCAAAGAATCGTTCTAATTTTTTAATTCTTTTAGGTCGACGTTTGGAGCTTGGGCGTGATATTATACATCTGTTTAAGTGGCGTGCTTCCTTTCAATAATCGAAGGAAGGATTGCAGTTTAGAGGAACAAATAAGACGTGGATTATACGCATTGCCTCCGCAATACTTCGGACATTTATCATCGCACGCTATAGATCTGGTACGTAATGATAATCTTGTTAACTGCAATTGATTTTGTGTTTAATTTAATTTACTGCTTCTCTAGATCAAACGTATGATGACGATAAATCCGGTGACACGGATAACAGTTCCGCAAATTTTGTTGCATCCCTGGTTGAGAGACCAGTGTATGCGAGAAGAAGCGTTTCAATTGATGGGAACAAATGCTAATAATGAGCAAATAAACGACGAGAACGTACCGCCTTCGAATAATTTTGAAAATTGTCGTGAAAACAATTTACATCCACAATTGAAACGCACACGGTATGACATGTGAACGCCGTTGACAAGAAGTATACGAAAAAAAAAAAAACATTTCAAATAGGTCAGAGTGAGTAAAGATTAGTACAAAGAGAGTACCTAACACTTTTTCAACGGAATCTGGTGTTTCGTTGATTGTGATTGTCATTGTTACCTATACAGAAAAAGATTACGTTTACATAGAATTTAGAAGCAGAACTACAGTTTAAGAACGTTAACTAGAACAGAATGAAGTAGAATTAGAACGTTAATTTAGAACAGAATGTTCAAATAATTTAGAATGGACCTAAAATAGTAGACCTAAATAGTTTGTTAAGTTTATAAAATCGGTTGGATTACCGTAAAAATCTCACAGGGATACAATATAAGTTAGATAGCAAATAGAGTATTTTGTTTATTATAACAATGATTAACTTACATAAAACAGATTTTTTGACCAATAAAACTTAGATAAATTATATAAACATTCCGCGTATACACTATAACTTTTACTTTTTGACGCTTCTCTCAATTTGATGAGTAAAGTACAATTTGTGATTTAACTTGTGACAAGAGATAATCTTTTACATATTAAGATAACATATATCGCAATTGTAAACACTGTGATGAGTATTAAGACGCGATTTATCTATAATTTTTTGTTAACATATTTAAGATCTTTAACGAAACACCAATAAAACAAGACTGAGACATTCCGTGTCAAGCAATTGAAAAATGTAGGTTTAATTTATTTCGAACTACAATTAGCACTATATAGGAGCTTTCATATAATAAGAACATCGTTTTATTACTCAATTATAAATGCGAGGCTCTTATCCAAAGCGATGGGCAGTACTATACATTAAAAGAGAAGGCAAGACATTCTCGGTTTTTCTACTTCTTTTCGGGCGGATGCTCTTCGCTGCGGCAAGGATTTGGAACAGCCGTCTCGATATCTGGTTTCTCTTTCGTCGCAAGACCGGCCAGTAAACGTTTTAGCTGCGCTATCGCTTTGCCCGGATTTAGACCCTATTGAAGGCACGACAACAAAGACTGATGTACAATATTAATCTACGTTTAGATACTTTCTCTTGACGAAACTAGGAGCTTTTCTTTTAGAAGGGTAATAGCGAGTTCTGTTTACGCTCTCACCTTTGGGCACGTCTTGGTGCAATTGAAGATCGTTTGACATCGATAAACCGAATAAAAGTCCCGTAGCTTCGCTAGTCTTTCTTTATGTGCCATATCTCGCGAGTCTATCACCCACCTGTATGCCTAACAATGTAAGCGAGTAGATGCACGCACTGATATCTTTGTTTTGCCGCAGAAAAATTTGCTAAATTGTTCCGTTACCTGCAGCAGAACCGCGGGTCCCAGATACTTGTCGCCGAGCCACCAGTAGGGCGGACAGGAATACGTGCAACAGGCGCACATTATGCACTCGTACAAGCCGTCGAGCTTGCTCCTGTCCCGCGGACTTTGCAAAATTTGTCGCAAACCCAGGAAGCCGTCCTCACCCGGGCGTTTTAAGTACGGATCGATCTTGCGAAATTGCTCCAAGAACTGCTCCATGTCCGGCACCAGGTCGCGAATCACGTACGCGTGCGGCAGAGGATAGATCACCACTGGATCCTCCACAGATTCCTTTACCTTTCTGCAGGTTCGCGCAGTTTTAGTTAAGCGCTACTTGTAAGAGCTCCGCCGTAGAAGCAAGTTCTACCTTCGCGGACTATGAATACTCACTTTGTAAACGTAAATATAACATGTAAAATTAACGAGATTTTATTTCAAATTCTAGATTTCCAAAGTGTCCCAACGACAACTATCCAGATATTCAGAATATCCTAAAAACGGTCGAATGGCCAGCGGTATTAAAATTCCCGAGAAACCTCAAGTCCGAAAAAACTCCTATCCACCTAATCCGTCGATGCCGAAAATTTATAAAAACCAGTGCGAAGAAATTACGTTATGCAAGACAGAGTGTTGACGCCGTCTATGTTCATCGCGCAGGAGCCGCAGATGCCCTCGCGACAGGATCTCCGAAAGGACAAAGTCGGATCGTACTGCGCCTTGATTAACGTCAGTACGTCCAGTACCATAGTGCCGCATTTGTTCAGGTCCACGCTGAACTGCTGCATATACGGCTTGACGTGCGGCGTTTCCGGATTCCATCGGTACACGCGAACAGTCTGCAGTCTCGGTTCAACTTTCGCCGGCTGTAAAATATCGGATCTAAATAATAGCTCAGTTTAGGCTTCAAATTTTTTATAAAAATTTAATAATTGTGGAAATTCTCTTTCCTGCCGCAATACACATTTCGTCCAAAGAGATTGACTCAGCAATACAGTAAATTGGATATAACAAATCTGAGATATTTCAGACAAACAGCATGTTGCCGCTTTGCGAAACTATGTGTATTGCGCAGAAGAGAATTTTTCTGCAGGAGAGGAGAGGATTTTTACACATTTCTGTTATCTAGGATTTTTATATCTTCGAATGTACAAATCGACTAACTTTCAGACGTGTTTTGCACGCTGCGACAGCTGCAATGTCAGCCGCTAAAGCCGCGTCTTTGGGCGATGGCGAAGCCTTCTTGGCCAACAGCGAGGTCTTGGCCGATTTGGTGGCTTTGTCCGACGTCGACCTCGATCCGCGAATGCGCGCGAGTCCACGCGACCAAAGCCGGTTCGTGAATCCACCGTTCACGGTGGCGAACATGACCCACCCCCTGCCGAGTAATTTGCCGCCGTCGTCTCTACGTCCGGCACGATATTATCTCGATACCTTCGTGATATCACGTCGCACTATGTCAATCATTACGCCGCAGCCACGTATATCTTGGATGTCAAGTAAACAAAATATCATCGAACGGACGAACTTCACTGATAATTTCGCGACTTACGTCACTAATAATTGATTCAAATTGTTTTTGACAGTTTAAGTCGGAGTCTCATGTTTATTTATTCATATATTTGTTTGGAAAACTAAAATATATCTTTTGCTCAATTGTCGAATAATTTTTTTATTCCGGCAGTTGATCGTTACATGTTAAATTTCTGTTGCAAATTAATTGGCTGCTGTAGATTGTAACATTTAAAGTTATTTTTAACGTAATGAAATTTAAATTGCGTTGAGAGAGTGTATCTATGCGGTGTATCTTGGTTGTAAACAAGTTACAACAATCGCGATAAGAATGACGCGCGTGACCTACGACTGCCGAATAATTTCGAAATAATTTCAGTAACGAACATCATACAAAGTTCCGGTATTGCAACATTTCGAATCAATTTTTAAATATATGTCAGTTTTTTTTTTTTTTTTAATTCTTTAAAATAATTGAGAAAAACTTGAGAGATAAAAATCTTATTTATTAGTTGATTTAAAAAGAATTGCGATAATATTTTACAATATGGGAAAATTATAAATATAATGTTGTAATGTGCAAAATAGGGAACATTCCGAACATTTTTAATTAAACATATGCATTTACTTATACGTTATAATATGATAACATAAACGTGATGTTTTCGTCGTACTCTCGTGCTTGTGTTCAACGCTTTCTTATTATGTTTGTATCACACCGAAAGATCATAAAGTCATCGTGCGAGCGATATACGGGTTATTATGGATTAACCCCCGCAAACAGCGGGCCGGTTTCGTTGCGTAAGATTCGATTAGTGGTACATTCTTGTGTTATATCGTCGCCTTGATTGATACGTCGGCAGTCACGCGAGTGTATTCGTGTGCCGCAGACAAACTACAACCACCTGTGGCATCTTGATTGCGTTCGAAAGCACGTGTTACCGAAAAGCAATCCATTGGTGGTTTTTTAAGAATTACATCTAAATTTATATTAAAACAAACGTGAGTATACAAGGAAAAATAGTTTTATCTTAAAATTATCAAGTTTTGACATCACGAACGTACTTCGCCCACTGACGTTTCGTAAAAATATAATGTAAAACTGATAATCTTGTGATCATCGCTATTTGGTGTGACAAATGTATTGTTAATTTATAGATTATGATGCAGCACACAGTTCTGGTAGTCGGCGGCGGTGGCAGAGAACATGCCATTTGCTGGAAATTGTCTCAATCGCCACATGTGAGTTGATCACTGAAAATTACTAAAACGTGGATGGTACAATTCTATATACAAATTTAATGCAACGTGCTTTCCATTTTCGGTGTAGGTGAAAGAAATTCTAGTTGCTCCCGGGAATACCGGCATCAAACAAGTGGCCAAGGTGCAATTGGTTGAGTTAAATGTCAAAAATACCAAGGTATGCTACAATGTCACTTTCATGGAAAAGTACAAATTTTTAGATCAATTGTATGACATTAGTTGTATTTTGTTGTTTAGAAAGTCGCTGAATGGAGCAAGGAGAATAATGTGGATCTAGTAGTGGTTGGGCCAGAGGATCCTTTGGCTCAGGGCCTGGCGGATGATCTGAATGATGTGGGAGTGAAATGCTTCGGACCGCAGAAGCAAGCAGCCGAGATTGAAGCAAATAAGGACTGGGCGAAGCAGTTTATGGACAGAAATCATATTCCTACTGCTAGATGGCAAGGCTTTACGTCTGCTGCAGATGCAAAAACTTTCGTCAAGAGGTAAGTAGAGAATCCCTCAAAGAGGAGAATTGATAAAATAAGTTGATATTTTTCTTTGCAGTGCTCCCTTCAAGGCACTCGTGGTGAAAGCATCCGGCTTGGCAGCAGGTAAAGGTGTTGTAGTGGCAAAAGACCAGGAGGAAGCTTGTCAAGCGATAGATGAGATTCTGAATGACAAGAAATTTGGGACTGCTGGTGAAACTGTAGTTGTCGAGGAACTCTTAGAGGGCGAAGAAGTGTCTGTGCTTGCATTTACAGACGGTAGATTGCATTTATAGACTTTAACCTATTTTTCTAATGAAAAATCGGATGTTGTTTCAAAGTTGCTAATGCTCAGGCAAGACTGTTGTGCCCATGATGCCTGCGCAAGACCACAAGAGGATCTTCAATGCGGATGCTGGTCCAAACACCGGTGGAATGGGAGCATATTGTCCGTGTCCATTGTTAAACGAAAGGGAATACGAGCAGGTGAAAGTGAATGTTCTCCAGAAAGCCGTCGACGGCCTGAGAAAGGAAAATATTCCGTTCGTTGGTTTGTAATTTTTTTATTGACAGCTGTATTCCGCCAGGTTGCGAATGTAACATAATTTATATGAAACAAATATTACAGGCGTGTTGTATGCCGGTTTAATGCTGACCGAAGACGGCCCGAAAGTCCTGGAGTTCAACTGTAGATTCGGCGACCCCGAAACGGAAGTTGTGTTACCGCTTTTGACATCAGACTTGTTCGCAATCATGAAGGTACAATTGATATTGATTTATCAGAAAAAAAAATCATGTACGAAATATATTTGATTGCAGGCTTGTTGCGAAGGTACTTTGAGCCCGTCTCTCGTTTCCTGGCGGGAGAACGTATCCGCCGTGGGTGTTGTTTTAGCATCCCGCGGCTATCCAGCGTCCTCGTCCAAGGGTCAAGTTATAACCGGCATGGACGAAGTGACGCGTAAACAGGATCACTTCATCTTTCACAGCGGCACAGCTGCATCATCCGAAGGCGAATTAGTAACCAACGGTAATTGCGACGTGACAAAAACTGTCTGAATAAACGCTAAAATAATTGTTTTCATAGGCGGAAGAGTTCTCATCACCGTCAGTATAGCGCCAACTTTAGCGATGGCAGCTGCCAGGGCGACCCAAGCTGCTCAACATGTATCGTTCGATGGAAAACAATTCAGAACGGATATTGCGCACAAGGGGATCGCTAGGTATAACAGTCGATTAATGCGCACATCGCTAAAATTTTGTATGAAATTAACAGGAAAAATGTTTCAGGTCTATTTTGCAAAAAGGACAGCTAACATACAAAAGCAGTGGCGTGAATATAGATGCCGGCGATCGTCTTGTCTCCGCTATCAAACCAGCCACTTGCTCCACGAAACACGCTGGCACTTTGGGCACGATAGGCGGGTTCGGAGGCCTCTTTGATGTAAAATACGCAGGCTACGAAAATCCCATTCTGGTATCCGGCACCGATGGCGTCGGTACTAAATTGAAGGTCAATATTAAGTTTAAACACAATCGCTAGAACTAATCCATGTTACAAGCGAAAATTTCTTCTTTACAGATAGCAGTCAAGTGCAATAAACATGACACGGTGGGCATAGACTTGGTAGCAATGTGCGTGAACGACATCCTCGCGCACAATGCGGAGCCGCTGTTCTTCTTGGATTACTTCGCCTGTGGCAAACTCGACGTTGGAGTCGCCACGACGGTTGTGAATGGAATAGCCGAAGGTTGCAAGCAAGCAGGATGTTCCTTGGTAATTTGACAGCAATGTGAAATTTTATAGCTTGGGAATTTCTTGAGAAATATATTGATGAATTATCGGATTTGAGATCATTTTCTCGATGATTATTCGCAGAAATTGATATCATTATATTTTGGCAGATTGGCGGAGAAACGGCCGAGATGCCCGACATGTATCCCGAGGGAGAATACGACTTAGCGGGCTTTGCAGTAGGCGCGGTTGAAACAGGTGATTTGCTGCCACGTAAAATTGATATTAATGAAGGCGACGTGGTGATTGGCCTTCCATCCAGCGGCGTGCACAGCAATGGCTTCAGCTTGGTACGAAAAGTTTTGAAACTCGCTGATAAGAAATACTCCGACATCGCGCCTTTCTCAAAGAAGAATCGAACTATTGGTATAGAACGATTACTAAAACTAAATTACTCTCAAGTATGCGCCATAAGAAAGTTTGTAACGAAAATAATGCAATGCCGTAGGTGAAGAATTGCTGGAACCAACGAAGATTTATGTCAAGAGCGTTCTTCCTGCCTTGCGAACTGATCTAGTGAAAGGATTCGCGCATATCACAGGCGGGGGTCTTACAGAAAACATACCCAGAATTTTACCGGAAGATTTGGGTGTGACGTTGGACGCGACTAAGTGGAACGTATTGCCAGTTTTTGGCTGGTTAGCTGCGGTTGGTGAGTATATTGTTATCCAAAATCCGTATACTGCCAATTTGCATAAATGCTAATTAAAATTTTTTTCCCACATAGGTGGGATTAGCAAACACGAGATGTTGAGGACATTTAATTGTGGAATTGGCGCGATTTTAATATGCTCCGAAAAAGATAAGGCTGAAATTTTGAAGAAACTAAAAGACGAAAATCCTGTGGTTATCGGAAACGTGAACACACATAGCAGTAAGAAGCCATTTTTGCTTTAAATGTTAATTAATATTACTAATTATAGTATTTATTACATTAAAATGTTAATTGTGTTAATATAGATGGCCAAACTAAAGTGCACATTGAGAACTTTGAAAAGGCCCTCGAATTAGAGATGAAACAATATGTTCCCAACTTGGTTGCAAGCTTGAGCAAGCCTCTTAAGAGAGTAGGTGTTCTTATATCAGGAAGTGGAACAAATCTTCAGTCATTAATTGACGCTACTCAGGATCCGTCTCAGCACATGGGAGCAGAAATCGTTTTAGTGATTTCCAATAAGCCTGGTGTTGAAGGATTAAAACGTGCCGAGAGAGCCGGCATTAAGACATTGGTAATTAAGATATTAACATCCGTCAGATACAAACAACAAATCATAAATATTGGATGAACACGTATTTTCATAATTTTTCTTGTGTAATTTAGGTAATTAAACACACGGATTATCCAAATCGTGAATCTTTCGACACAGTCATGAATGTGGAACTTCATGCCAACGGGGTAGAAATTGTGTGCCTGGCCGGTTTTATGCGAATCCTTTCAGAACAATTCGTAAAACATTGGAAAGGAGCTTTATTAAATATTCATCCTTCACTGTTGCCATCTTTCAAGGGGGCGAACGCGCACAAAGATGTTCTAGCAGCGCGTGTGCGTGTATCGGGTTGTACTGTGCATTTTGTCGAGGTATAACAAAGAGACTAAGTCTTTATTTCAGTTTTCTTATTTAATTTAAATTTTTTAATCTAAATTTTTTATTTAGTTTAATTAGACTAAATAAAAATATTCTATTGTCATTTAGTTATTAATGAATGCCTTTTCGTCAATTAGGTTGATATAGATTCGGGAGCTATCGTCGAACAAGAAGCTGTACCTGTGTTCCCAGACGATACCGAAAAAATCCTGCAGGAACGCGTAAAGACTGCGGAACATCGAGCTTATCCTCGTGCTTTAAAACATTTGGCGACTGGTCGTATAAAACTTAAAGAGGACGGCACTCTCCAATGGAATTGATTAGATTGCACATTTATATAAAGGATTTATAAAATATAAAAATATTTTTATACCGCTACTCACACCTCGTCTTATTATTTTTTGTATATATACAAATTTGTAATTTTTATATCACATTTTGATATCACATTACGCTTACTTTCTAACGAACTTTTTTACTAAATATATCAATTATAAAGTTAAACAAGTCCTGTGACATATTTTCATTCAAATTTTTATGACTAGTATCCGCATACTTTTTTATATTTTTAGAAGGTGGCACCGATAACGCTTTCTTAGCAAGCTCCTCCAAGCTAATGTGAAGCATCTGTTTCTGGAGTATAGGAACTAACAAGTTGTATTTATCGATTTTGTTATTTATCTGCTTTGCCAGAGTTTCGAATTTTTCTAAATTATTCCTCCATGTTGTTTCATCTTTTATAGATAAAGGGAGTTCTCCTAAATCATTACGTACTTCTGATAATCTCCCTTTTAACTCGTCAGTTTCTTCCCTGATTTCCTTTGACAATTGTATCCATTCTGGAGTGAATCCGTTGTCTATTAATATCTGCAATTAATAAGTACAAAAGTTAAACTCAATTGTGATATTTAATTGTGTTTAATTTATCGTGAAATTAATATTGAAGTTTTTTTACCTGATTTAGTTTATGAGTTACAAAATCAACGTAAGGATTTCGAGGACTTGTATTGTTTAATGGCTTTCCCATGCCAGGTAAATCACTAAATTCGCCTTTATTCATTGCCTCTTGGATCAAGTCTTCAACCAAACGATCCATGCCATAACGAGTTTTAATATCCTTAGCTCTTTGTTTATCCATACCAATTAATGTATTACGTTCCTCAGCTTGCAATTTCTTCAATCTGTGCTCCATTACATTGTCAACTGCTTTTTGAGCTCTTTCTATCGTGTGCAGTTTCTGCCTCTTGCTTGGTGTGCCAATTCCCACGTCAAAATTCAGATAATGACGATGTTGTGGTGCTGTATGCTTAAAATTAGAGCTAGTGAAAAATTATTTACAGTCTATATATGTATGTAAGAAGATGGATACCTTGATATCAAATTCTTCTACTTCTGATAATGTCTTTTCATCTTTTTGAGTATTTCTAATTTTTCGAATTTCTCTATAAGCGCTTTCAATCTGTAAACAAATAAATAAAGTTAATACTTTTATTTATTTTCTTTCAGAATATATTGTAGTCTACTTTTGTAATGTATTACCTCAGAAAATCTAACAGCACTAGCTTCTGGCGTTCCACTGTCTGGATGGAATCGTTTTGCAAGATAAACAAATGCCAATCTTAAAGTTTCATCTTCACAATCTTCTGTTACACCAAGTGTTTGATATAACTCCTATAAGTGTATATTATTTTGTTAATGCGTATAGTATTTCGTCATTATCTGAATTTTGACGTGGGAATTGGCACACCAAGCAAGAGGCAGAAACTGCACAATAATGAATGAAAATATAAACTGCTTAATAATGAATGAAAATATTCAACATTATACCTTTGTATGCTTAGAAGCACGTTTGGAAGAAAATTCATTCTTGAATCTCTTTGGCAATATTGAATCAGTACGTGGCAGAAATGTCACATAAACTCCTGGCTTGGAATATAGTCGATTCAAAGAAAACATAATTCTTTATCTTTAAAATGTTATAAATAATTTACAACGTAATTTTTATATTGCTGTCCGTTATATAATTATTATAAATATACACAAAATTATTTTATCTCGCATAGTATTAGTAAAGTTTTAATAATTTTAAATATTCTGCCTGGTATCTTTTTCCACAGTGAGAGAAATAAAATTTTAAAATTGTATTAAATGTTTATATCAAATAAATGATGATAATAATAAGTCTACCATCAATTCCGACATTAGTAAATGCTATTCTTTGTATCCAGAGGACGCCTGATCGCGTACTCCAATTTTTATCAACAGCCAGAAGACGCCTAAACGCGTCTTGGCCTCTGACTGCAGAGAATGGCATTTATAAACGTTAGAATTGATAGTTAATTATCATCATTTATTTCATATAAACATTTAATACGCTTTAAAAATTTTATTTCTAGAACTTATTCTTTGCAATGATGTTAATAAAGCTAGATTCTATGATATAATATATCTAAAATCTCTATGGTGTGATCAAGATTCAAAACTCGGTTTGGCTGCTTGTTGAAGATGTCAACCACGGCAAAATGAGGTTATATCTTATTTTGATAACAATTTGTTTTTTATGGAATCGGAGCGAATGTTCAATGCCTGGTGCAAATAAAAGTGCTGATCAACAGTTGGATTACAGACCATATGGTCCATTAGTATTGTGTAAATTTTTGTAAGTATTTAAATGGGCACTAAGTAAATTAAGCAAATATATTTATTATATACAATAATTTTTTAGACCTAAAGAGTTTATAGAATGTGAAGATCCAGTTGATCACAAAGGAAATAAAACTGCCAAAGAAGAGACAGGTTTTGGTTGTGTTAAGGTATGATATATTTACATATTCAAATTTCTAAATAGCACACATTCCGTATATGAAAAATTTGTTTTATTTATAGTTTGGAGGATCTCGTTATGAAGATGTCGAGAAAACCAAGGTGTCTTGTACAGTGCTTCCGGATATTGAATGTTCCGGATCAAGAACATTCTTTCGTGAGGGAGTGCCATGTATAAAATACAGCGAACACTATTTTGCAACGACTCTTCTGTACAGCATTCTGTTGGGTTTTCTCGGCATGGATCGGTTTTGCCTTGGGCAAACGGGGACAGCAGTAGGTAAATTATTAACATTAGGAGGGATGGGTATATGGTGGATTGTTGATGTGATCTTGTTGGTGACAAACTCTTTGCAACCTGAGGATGGAAGCAATTGGAATCCATATGTATAGCATTTCCACACTGATAAAATCAGGGATCATTTTTTGTATGCAATTTATAGTTTATAATTAATTTTGTAAATAAATCATTGTGATGTTCCAAATATTTATCTAATATTTAATATAATTAAAAAGACACGATTTCTTTAAAAATAATGTATTATAGTATGGGACAGGTTTAAGAAAGATTGCAAATTATGTTTTATGCGTAACAAAAATTTTATAATTCACAATCATCCGAATGGTACAATTCACTAAGCAATCTGTATACATAAGATGGTGCATTTCCACCCCTGAAAAAGCAAATAAAAATATTTATTCGTTGATTTGAAATATATGTATTTATAATTAATAATTTAATTCATCTTACGTGTTCGAAATAAATAACGTGACGAGATCTGGTGGAACATAATCGAATACGGGATTATGTGCATGTATTTTCTCCAGCAATGACGCGTTGGCACTGTCGATTACACCTTGCATTGGCGAAACATGTCGGTTGAAGCCATCTTGCTTATATGAGCAGTGATAAACAGGAGAGAGCTTGTAAAGGGGCAACAGAACCATCACCGGAACAGAATAATGCTTGGCAGCTTGTGCGACCGTGTGCGCTCCCGATATTGCTCTGAGTCCGCCGTCTGCCATGACGGTGTGAGTACCGATTATGACTTTGTTGACTCGCGACATCATCGCGAAGATCGCCACGTCCGATATCAGTGTAGTCTTGATCTTTGCCTTAGCCAAATTTATCGCCATTTCGTGACCCTGCAATTATTTATGATCTTTTTCCTGTGCATTTGTAATTTTTTTTTTATAAATTTGTATCTAAACATATACCCACACTGAGAAAAGGCCCGCCCTCAGCTACTATAACTTCGAAGGCTCTGGTAGTTGCAGCATTTTTGAAAAATTCTTCTACCAATTTTGATTTTCCAATGGTCATTATAATCTCGTTCGAATGTATGTGTTCTGAAGCTTGTCCGACAATGTTTTGCGAACTGCAAATATCAAACTTGTTGAATACACAATAAGAAAAGTACCATAAAGAGTGTTTAATAAAGGAAACATTATAAAAAAAAAAAAAAATTGTGCTTTTTAAAACCCAAAAAATGTTCAAATATCTAGTTTATATGGAAATATTTCTAATATTTAATTCATGCATGATTTAATGTATTAAATTTCTTCCAATTTTATGACAGAATATGACTTTTTAATATAATATAGATGTAGTTGCAATTAACCATGTTTCCAGCTCGGTTTCAAATTCATTAATATGCTCAATGAGGGCGGATTTGAGGAAAGGCACTGAGACATTGAAATCTATCTGTTGGTCATCCTCAGCAGTGAGTATTTTATGCAAAGATTCCTGAGGATCTGTTTCTTCTGTCTTATTCTTTAATTCCGAGGTATATTCTTCCCTAATAATCTGTAATATCCTTCTAACCATGTTCCCAATGCAAGCTTCAAGAGGAAGCGCTTCAATCAAGTACTTTCCATTCCGCCTCACAATATCCATTAAATTTCTATCAAGATCAAAATGAAATCAATGATTAATACATATTTTATAAGAAAAGAAAGCTAATGCCACATGTCACATGTGTCAACATAATCAATGGTTGTTGCAATAGCCGTAAATAAAAATTCATACTTTGCTGTGCTCCATTCGGTATTAATAATTTTCTTGAGAACGGAAATAGTGGCCACTACGATGTTATAGGTACCCTTGATTTCTCTGAAATAATACATTAAATGGATATTTCCTTTAATGGATATTTCCTTTAATTCCATAAGATTTGCTTACCCATAGTGAATGTTGTCTATCAACTTTAACACGTTTCGGTTAATATTTTCTGGTGCCATGCCAAATATTTTTATTGTGTCCTTAAATATTTATATCAGGTATGCAAAATACGTAATATTTCGAGATTTCACTACTTTTATTCACTTGTAACTTACTACACTCAATATACATTGCTATCAACACAGATGTAAAGATCACGTGTTATGTGCTTCATGATTGTGACTGATTCAATGTTGGCAACGGTCTTTCGTTTTTGTGATATTATTTCTATAAATTATTTTATATTTTCTCTTCTTTTCGTAATTTTATATCATCTCTGAAAAAATCGATGAATACTTGATGCTTGTTTATTGAAACAAAGTTGCTTAAAATATCGTGAAAAGTTACAATGTTTTGTCCATAGGTATATTTGTACAGTTACCAGCACTGTGTTATTTAACCAATAACGAATTCGATCCAGTAATTTGATCACTCGCACTACATTACACTCATGCTAAAGACTGATACACATTATAGGTTTGTCGCGTCGCATGATGCTCCTACTCGCTCCAATCTGTAGTATTATGTTTACTATGCAGTATTTGAGCAAGCGAGTATCGTGACTCGACAAACTTCATGAAATTGTGTAATGTATGAAGCACAATATATATATAGGTATCATGAAATCAAATATTTCACAATGATATTGTCAATAATATTTATCAGAATATATAGTTTTATTGCCAGTGTTCATGTTAATACTGTTGTATTTAGACACTTTATATATAACAGTCTTAAGCGTGTTTCAAACGTGACTTGTGTAATGTAGTGCGAATGGCCGAATTCGCTAAAAATAATCCATTAATCGACCTTGTGTGTTTGAAGAATGAATTTTTTTTTCAGATTTTAATTTTCATTTTGATACCGTATTTTGATTATATTACATACAACGCGATATTGTTTGAATGAGCCTGCTTTAACAGAAGAACTATTTAATGTTATGGCTTGTCCAAAGCTTGTCTCAGACTTTAGTACTCCAGAACTGAAGTGGTATCAAACGGATCTCACAGTCGTTATTCGTATTCAAATAATTGATATACATGATTATTATCTTCTAGTTCAACCTGATCATTTGATTTTTAGGTAATTGCATATAATAAAGGAAGAAAAAAAATGTGACACTTGATGATATTACAGACTAATCTTGTCTTATTGCAGCACAACATCAAATGACAAAAAATACTGTCTTATTTTATATTTTTATGGAGGAGTGATACCAGAAAAAACAGTACACAAGAATTTTGGGAGGGAAATTAAGGTCTATCTTACAAAGACACTCAAATGTACATTATGCAATAATTTTCTCTTTATTTGTTAGAAATTATTTTCATAAAAACAGACACTCACATGTATTATTTTCATAATTATTAGGGTATTCATGGCTAAGATTGACTATGTCCAAAGAAAAAAGTCCACTTATATCCTATGATCAAGAAAATTTATGTGCAAACCAACCACAAAAAAAATATATAGTCAAAGGTAATTATACATCTTACATTTTTGTAATATTTTATTATTTGTAAATGGCAAAATATATAATGATAGATTATGTTAATATGATAGATTCTAAATAATCTGTTTTTTTTTTATTTTTATAAATTCATATATTTTTTTTTCTTTTTCTAGTAAGAGAGGATTTAGAATGGAAAAATGATCAGGAACAATACATATTACCTTATGATGAATCTACCGAGGATGAATCTGAGGACGATGATTCCTTATTTGATTTATAAATATTTCCAATACATTTTTTAATATGTTTGTGATATAAAAAAAGTACAGTGTGTTTGTGATATAAAAAAAGTACAATTACAATATGACAATATATATTTGGCTATATATTGTCATATATATATTGAAATATGGTATTTTCAATATATTTGTTATTAACATGTGATAAAGCGACAAATATACAATTTTTTATGCATTTTATACATGGTACAAGCTTGTTGATGTATTTCTATAATTGTATAAAACAATGTCCTTTAACAAAAAAAATATAACATTCTATATATTTTTACATATAACAAAAATTAAATTATATACAATATAAACATTTAGAACAATTTCTCACCTGCAAAATTATAAAAAAAGATCAAATGAAATTAGTACACCATCACCACATACGATTTTAACAATAAAAATAATTAAATGTAATTTTGTTAAAATATCTTATTAAGTTGTAGATTTAAGATGGTTATAAAATATAATATTACAATAATATATTATGTTGTATATAATCGTTGTGACTTATTTATTACTGTGGAATGTCACTAATAGAGAAGAGCTGATTACCTAAGATAATCTTCAATCATTGAACTATTAGAAGTACTTTTTGTGGACATGTCTTTGGCAATGCACAACTTGGCTTTATATCACTATTCAAATATGACATAATTTTGTAATCTATTTACAAATCTTTCAGCTATGGTAACTATTTTAAAATAAAACAAGTGTTATAACTGTAATAATTTTGAAGACGTTAGAAGAAATTATCTAGTATTAGGTGAAAGTATATTGAACAAATTTCTTATAAAACTTAGAAATAATATTTTTCACTTTTTCTTAATTTATAACTATAAAAGAAATGTACATTATTTTATTGGTATGTGTAAGGAACGATATTGTATAATGTGTTGATATTTTACTTAAATGCTTCTACAATTTATCACATATATTATTATATGCGTATTGCAATATGTTGTCTTTACTAAAGCAATAATTCCCTGAACAATGTAGAAAAATCAAAGTAACGATTTATAATCACATAAGATAATTTATAATCACACAATTACATGAGATTTTCTAGGAAAAAATTACATATTAAAGTAAAAAATAAAATTATTAATATTAATAATTAATTATAATATGTTTCTTAGGAAATTATTATAATATTTATTAATAATAAATAAAATTGTAATAGTCTCAATATTAT